AAAATTCAAACGGTGTTTCATTGAAGTTTGAGAGTGAAATCAGTCCAGCGAGCTTTCGAGATTATATTACAATAGGAAACATAGTTAAAAATCACATGCCGGAAATCTCGAAAAAGTTATGGCATTTTTTTCTACGATTTGACATTTTAAAACTATAGCTAGTAGACGATAGTCGTTCAATTCCTTTTGTAATATCCAGGTATGAATCGATTTCCAACACCTTTCGTTTGCGAGGGAACCGCTGATAATTTCTAAAATAGATAACAAAAGCAAACAACGTTATATAATATATCACAAGCTTCTTTAAAAACTGACGGCCTTTTTTTGTATCACATACAGTCCTAGTTTCGCTTAATCAAAAAAATGCCGGCATTTTTTCCGCGACTTGACATTTTAAGACTATGTCTGCCATACGATAGGTGTTTGATTCCCCTTCTCATATCCAAGTTTGATTTTTTTTCCATCACTTTCCGTTTGCGAGGGCACCGCTGATAATTGGACGACTTGACATATTAAGACTATGGCTAGTAGACGTTAGTTGTTCAGTTCCTTTCTTCATATCCAAGTTTGAATCGTTTTCCAACACATTCCGTTTGCGAGGGCAACGCTGATTATTTCTAAAATCATTAACAAAAGTAACTAACGTTATCGAAGGTATCACACGCTTCTAAAAAACGACGGCACTTTTTTCATTAACATGAATATCTAAATTCGAATGGTGTTTCATTGACGTTTGAGAGCAAAATCAGTCCAGCAAACTTCCGAGATCATATTACTATAGGAAACATAGTTAAAAATCACATGCTGGAGTTCTCAAAAAAATGACGGCATTTTTTTCTTCGACCTGACATTTTCAAACTATGGCTAGCAGACGCTAGTTGTTTTAATTCCTATTTTCATATCCAGGGATGAATCGTTTTCCATCACTTTCCGTTTGCGAGGGAACCGCTGATAATTTCTAAAATCGTTAACAAAAGCAAACAACGTTAGCGAAGATATCACATGCTTCTTTTAAAAAAGACGACATTTTTTGTATCACATAAATTTCTAGTTTCGCATGGTCTTTCATTGACGGTTGTGTGCAAATGCAATCCTGTAAGCTTCCGAGATCATTCAACTGAAGGTAACATCGTTGACAAACACAACCCGGACTTTTGGAAAAAATGACAGCATTTTTTTCTAGCAAGTAAATTTCAAAATTCAAATGCATTTTTATTGACGTCTGAGAGCAACATTTGTCCAGTAAGCTTCCAAAATCATACAACTATAAGAAACATAGTTAAAAATCACATGCTGGTGTTCTCAAAAAAATGACGGCATTTTTTCCGCGACTTGAAATTTTAAGACTATGTCTGCCATACGATAGGTGTTTGATTCCTCTTCTCATATCCAAGTTTGATTTTTTTTCCATCACTTTTCGTTTGCGAGGGCAAGGCTGATAATTGGACGTCTTGACATATTAAGACTATGGCTAGTAGACGTTAGTTGTTCAGTTTCTTTCTTCATATCCAAGTTTGAATCGTTTTCCAAAACAATCCGTTTGCGAGGGCAACGCTGATAATTTCTAAAATCATTAACAAAAGTAACTAACGCTATCGAAGGTATCGCACGCTTCTAAAAAACGACGGCACTTTTTTCATTAACATGAATATCTAAATTCGAATGGTGTTTCATTGACGTTTGAGAGCAAAATCAGTCCAGCAAGCTTCCGAGATCATACAACTATAGGAAACATAGTTAAAAATCCACATGCTGGAGTTCTTAAAAACATAACGGCATTTTTTTCTTCGACCTGACATTTTAAGACTATGGCTAGTAGACGATAGTTGTTCAATTCCTTTTTTCATATCCAGGTATGAATCGAGTTCCATCACTTTTCGTTTGCGAGGGAACCGCTGATAATTTCTAAAATAGATAACAAAAGCAAACAACGTTATCGAAGATATCGCATGCTTCTTTAAAAAATGACGGCACTTTTCTGTATCACTTACAGTTCTAGTTTCGCTTAATCAAAAAAATCACGGCATTTTTTTTAGCAGATGAATTTCAATATTCAAGTGTTGTTTCATTGACGTTTGACAGCAAATCAGTCCAGCAAGCTTCCGAAATCATACAACAATAGGAAACATAGTTAAAAATCACATGCTGGAGTTCTCAAAAAAATGACCGCATTTTTTTCTACGACTTGACATTTTCAAACTATGGCTAGTAGACGCTAGTTGTTTTAATTCCTTTTTTCATATCCAGGGATGAATCGTTTTCCATCACTTTCCGTTTGCGAGGGCACCGCTGATAATTTCTAAAATCATTAACAAAGGGAAATAACGTTATCGAAGGTTTCACACGCTTCTCTAAAAAATGACGGCATTTTTTTCTTTAACGTGAGTATCTAAATTGGAATGGTTTTTCGTTTACGGTTAAGAGCAAAATCAGTCCAGGGAGCTTTCGAGTCAAACAACAAAAGGAAACATAGTTAACAAGCGCATTCTGCACTTCTTTAACAGATGACGGCATTTGTTTCTACAACTTGACACTTTAAGACTATGCCTGCCAGAGCTATGTTTTCAGTTCCTTTTTTATTATATAAGCTTGAATCGTTTCTCATAAATTTTTGTTTGCGATGGCACCACTAAATCGCTAGGTTTTTCCGCCTTCTTGGCATCGGCGTACTCAGTTGTGTCTTTGGTTTCTGGCAATCACCAAATCGCGAAAGTAGCGCTCCTTGATCCGGTGATAGACCAGTGGCCAAGGGCCCAAGATGAACTAAGTTCGAGCCTTCACGCGAAGAAAATAGGTAGCTTCAGTGGCCTTGGGATAAATTCTGTCGTGTCTTCGCTGAAGTCGGGCGCAACGAGTAAAACTAAAGAGGCAGTTTTACTGGCTGCTTTTCATCATGTCTCCAGCGCATGGTAAAGCACTCTTCCAGCACTAAACCTGCGTACATTTCTCCGCGATGAGGAGGTCAGAATCGGCGTCGCTCTTCGATTTGGCCTTCCCGTAATGGAGGAGCACGAGTGAGTGAATTGCGGAAGCCGAGTGGAAATAGAAGGTCATCACGTTTGTCCAGCGTAAGCACCAAGGGGAAGCGTTCGCGACATGTACAGATCTAAACAGTGAAGTAAAGCGGTGCTTCGAGATTACGGGCTATTCCTGCCAAGCCGAACTGTCAGGTCTTTCAGACAAGGTCAGTAAACGCCCGGATGGTATGACCTTGATTCCCGTGCGGGACGGCGGAGCAGTTGTGTGGGACGCAACGTGGTGGGACACGGTTGGCGTGTCGCACGAGCGCGGTAGCTCGATGAAAGGTGGAAGAGTAACACAATCGGCCGAAGACAATAAACGCCGTAGTATCCGTACGCTTTCTTCGGAAGTTTGGGTTATCTTTTCTACCCCTTGGTGGTAGAAACGCTGGGGACTTTTGTAACGGCTTTTGGTGGTCTGATTTGGCCAGAAGATCCGAGAAGTTTCTGGGGAGTCTCGGTCTTCAACCTTTTTGAGACAAAGTTTAAGTTTAGCGACAGTCAAAGACTCAGAGGAACAGCAGCGGCTGTTTTAGGCACACTGAACGCACGTTCGAATACTACAAAAAGATTCGGTTGTTTTTTTAAAGTTTAAAATTTCATCATTTTAATGTTTGTAAGTCTGCGCTGGCGTACTGATACGTGTGATGGCTGATGTCGAATACAAACACCAGTGCACTAGAATCGATCGACAGAAGTACTGTACAAATAATTTTTGGCTATTTTAAAAGCTGTTGCATATAATCATCAATTTGAAATTGTTTATTATTTTATCACTTTAAAAATGGATTTTTATTGGGTTACACAAATGAACAATGGTTAAACGCTACATCACGCAGTACATTATTTCAGCATATATACTGTATTTAAAAAATTAGCTTTATTGTTGAATTACAGTATTTAGACTGATTTTTACGAGGACGAATAATCGATTATCATCATGTTGACATTGCAACAAATTATATTGCTTACTGTAGTACTTTTTATAAAAATGTTTCACGATCGAGCGCTGCGCAATCTTTGCAACAATTCTCTGCTTTAACGCAAAATGTGCTTTAGCGTACGTTATCGCCTATTGAAAATTATTTCTGGTACCTTTAAGTGAAAATTATTTCTAGTGCCTGTTTTATTTTTATGCCTCCGTGCTGTATTGCCATTATAATGTCGGAGTTGTATATCATTAGAATGCATGCCAAATTACAGTTTGCAATATTTGTATACTGTATGCCCGGCATACAGTTAGTGTATGGATACCTGCATGCAGTGAGTCACCAAGCTCTTGTTTTGAAATAATTATTCGCCATAATTAAGATACACTGTGCACACGGACCGGTACGACTGTGTACTTGACTAGTTGTATCAGTATGCGAGAATAGTTAAATACACAACTAAAGTAATCAGATATCGGCGGTAGAAAACACTTGCCATGTTTCACATGTTTCCTTTCCCTCGTTTGTACGTATTGTACATGTGTTATGCACTTGCTGAAAAACACAGACGGTATAATAATATTATTATTATATAAATAATAGCAATACGTACGAGTGAACGATCGAGTTGATAAAGCACAGCACAAAATAATATAAGTATATACAGTAATAAAACCATGAAATTTATTGTATGCGCTAATGCGCCTGACGAAGAAATTTTTCAAAGAGATGTCTAGAAAGATTGTCGATCGTTCTGGAGAATTATCTTCTGCTCCAGAGAATGACTATTGAGATGCAACGGGGGAATGTGGTTTTCGTTTTTGGAACATTTCGTAATTTGGTCGAGAACGAAGATGTGAATCATGCTTTTAAACAAGCTGGACGGGAATATTGATATGTATCTGTTTTTCTTGTAGCTACCTTCAGCAATGTACTTACTGTAAGTGTGACCACCGTAGGCAGTTCATATCTGTTTTTTTTTGTTGTAGATACGTAATTGAACCCAAGAACAGGAATCGTATCTACATACAGTAAATGAAAGAACAGGACAGGAAGTTGCTATGAATAGCAGGAACTGAAAAACAGGAGAAACACAAAGGCAATATTATTGTATCGTACACCGTGTTGTGCGTACAATTACATACGTACGAACGTACGTTACAAAATAGTAAATTAGACAACAAAACACTAATAATTTTATAGTCATTAACTGCTTAACATAACCAGTTTGTTTTTGCTAAACGTACGTATTACTTCATCTAAAAACCTACGTTTATTTTGTTAATTGAGCAATCAGTCAGTCAGTCATTCGACACTGTCGGACTGGGATTAGTAATTCTTGCGATGAACAAAGGAAAGTCAGCGTTATTGTCCCAGATGATCAGCATAAAGGGCCGATTTGCTTCAAACTCGGGTGAGAAGTTGGATGTATACATTGGTCGCATCATTGTGACAGTTGATGCCGTAATTCCGTGTTCGTCGACATCTACGATGTTAAATTTCGTATAAGTTACGGACATTATGGTATCCGTAAGTCATAAGCTAAATATTTTTTTGCAAAAACTACAGCACGCACCAAGCATAGTGTTTTGCGCAAAATCAGCAACCTTTGTTCGCGCTCTGTTTCCGAACATTTTCGACATACTGCTCGAGGGTTGGTACATTTCCGTTAGACCCAAAGCTTTCGTACACGGTATTAAATCAGTATTGGTGGAAATCCGAAATTTCGGCAATGCCACCTTAATTTCGGAAATGAGGCTTCTCTTCCGCCACTCTACCAGCACACTGGCAGTGGCCGCTAAGCGCCTTTCCAGCTGTCCAAGACTGCCGGGAGTGTCTTCCGGCAATAAGAACATGACACTGTATTTTTTCCCGCGAATGTCCAGTATCAACACTTTGGGATCGTGTGGAGATAACTCGTTCTTCTCGGCATCCACATTGTACGAGCGGAATTCATCAAGCTCCTCTGAATTAAGAAAAGGGATGAACAGTTCGGTGCCATCCGCACAATGAAACACCCTGTTGAATGTGGAGAGCGGCTGAAACGGAAGGTCCCACGCTCCAGAAAAGTTGATCGTCGATAGCACAATTAAAGCGCTTTCCTGAACTTCGTCTGAATGTAAATGCGGCAAAACATCATGAACAGTCCATGGCGAATGACGATGCAAAAAGCTGTTGACAGCATCGATGGCTTGTTGCGGACCTGTTGCGAAAGCTACGCTGACAAAGTGAATATCCTGGCAGCTCTTCAATGCATCGCGGTATGCTTCCGTCAATGCTGCATTCTGGTCGTAGAACACTGCGTTCGCTTGGGCAAAACCGTTAGCTTTTTTGGATAACAGCGTCTCACATAATTTCTTTACTGATCGGCCATTCGGGCATAATAGTCGCAGCAGGTTCGCATGAATTTCGCCCTCCGTGCCAGGTAAGAAGCATGCCAAAACGCTTTCGACGGAATACGGGCAAATGATCAAATTGGAAGTCGATGGTAACGTATCAGCAGTGGCTTTGTACAGCGCAACAGCGAACGCCAATTCACAATTCAAACTACATTTCTTATTCATTTCTAATGGCAGGTAAGACGCAGTGCGAGTCGATTTTAAAACTGCGTTACCAAAAAATAACTTCGAAGACAAATAATACAGGGTAAGTGCGTCGGTGAAGGATGCGGAATTAGCCCTTTACAATATTGTACAGATAGAAATATGCATTTTATTCGGCAATGGCCACCTCTTGGATTAAAAAGCTAGCGCTGGTACACACTAATTAAAATTATAGAAATCAGTATTATTCATTCATGATATTCATTCATGATAGAAATATTATTCATTAATTTTATTGCTGACTGAAAAGCGAAAAGCGCAGACCCGCATCGTATGCTGTCTATCGCCTGAAGGTCTCAGTGCGTAGCTGCGTGCTGAGTGTGTACAGTAGATTCGATCGATATAAATAATTTTGGACTTGCAGTACGTAAAGCGGCAGACGTGTTTACCAGACCGAAGCAAAGCATGCCATGCTGCAAGTGCAGACTGCAGCAGCATTCAGTTGATGCAGCTTCTATGACACTGCGTTTCGTATATTAAATTATTAATAAGCCCTTTGCGTTGCTACATGTATGTATACAAATGGCTGAAAGATACAGAGTACAAGCAGGCTGAAGCAGCTGCTCCGCTTACTCGTGCGGTCGTTCAAAGTACTGTATGATATGCGTGATGGTCGTTCAAAGTGGCCATCATTATTTTTCATCTATAAAAAGTGGCCACCACCGTGGCCATTCATTTAAATTCCACAAACCAGTTTCCTTCCTGTTCTTTTCTTTATCCAATTCAACACAGTGTACCCTATGCCTGAAATACAATACCTGCAATTTTTACAAAATCTTGAACCGATTTCTTGCAGGTGCGTTTCGGAAAAAAACGGTGACGAAACACTTTAGCTACGACATCCGAGCCACTGCACCAAGGGCACTACAGTTAACACCACGCAAATACGTAAATTATGAAAACGTAAATTATAAAATTCAACCTTTTATCAGAACGAAAAATGTACCTTAGCGGTATCGGAGGTTTAGCCGTTAAGAAATGACCTCGCGAAAACAATTGTATTAAGTTGTATAATAATATGCATGTAGGGAAGTGGTTACGAAATGCTTATATCCACGTATAAAAGAATCTGGGAATGCACTTTTGACACCGGCGTCACACACTCCCACAGTACCAACGCACTTCCCGAAAGTTCCCGTAAGAGTGTATTCCGGTAACAGGCATGTCGCGTGTGTGCGATGGCGTACGCCTTGTACGAGTACTATTATTATTATTATTTTAATGTTTACCATCGTACGGTATGTACGGCTCATACAGATTCGGTATACATAATATGGCTCGATAGCACTCTATAATAATAACGGCTGCGAATGCATGGATACAAGGTATGCCGCAAACAGGTCCGGACCGGTTTGCGGCATATCTTATTGCTGTAAGTATTCGTCCACCACTGCAGTATATCTATGGAAAAGTTCCTCTAGTGGGAAAATTTATTAACTGGAGAAAGTTGAATTCTTTCAAAGAATCAAGCAACAACTGAGATGCAGTGTAAGTATTATCAATAATCTTACGCGGCTGTTTATCTCAAAACATTTTAATTTATTGGGAAGTCATCTGTTCTGAACATGAAGCGCGCTGCGTCAGCGTCAATCCGGATCCTATTCAAGTGCTCCGGACGTTTTGGCCTATGAATTTAACGCGTAACGCGTTCGGCCTATGTAGATTTAATTCATATATAGTTAAGAAAATTTAATAACATTGCTTCCATGTTCATTTCCAACTATCCAACTACATTTTTAATGGTTTTCGATTGTGTTGACTATCGAATCTGCCTTCCGTACTTCCATAATTTAAATTGCTTTCCGCACTTCCATAATTTAAACTTGCCTTCCATCACTTAATTTTGTCTAATATTTAATGATGGCAGATCTTATTTTCACTAATATGTTCCGGTGCAGGGTCGCGAAGTGCCCATGGCCAGATAAGGTTACCACTTACCAGACAGTTCCTCGAGTTTCAGGAGTTTGTTACGTTATAAGTACTAGATAATCGTTTTATAATTATGTTAGAAGTAGCAGATTAATATAAACTTGTTACGAAATGTGATTAGGCCGAATCCCCCGTGCTACACCATAGGCCGAATCCCCCATGTTCCATTGCAGGCCAAAACGTCCGGTGGAACAATAGGTTATTGTACGACAAATACAATGGTAGGCCGAAACCCCCTCTGAACCGGTAGGCCGAATCCCCCATGATACCTTTTCGCACGTTATCAGCAATTTCAAATAAATCTGGCACCAAATATGATTAACGCAGACATGTTCAGAACAGATGATCTTTCCAATAAATTAAAATGTTATGAGATAAACAGTCGCACTACAACTAAATTAATCTAAAACAACAAGATACTGGAAATAAACAAATATGTGCGAGTACTCGTACTCGCACTGGTACTCGCACTGGATGCTGTGCGTTTTAAACCTGGATTTAATTTTAAAATTTCGACCGTGATGCCAGTAGCGTTGCGAGCTGCAGAGCAGTCGGGTGTTCATCGCACCCTAATCGTGAAGGGTATGTTCACAGCACCCAAATGTCCTCGTATACTATAAAGAGATTCATTTTTGTTGACTTATCGCAAGTCAGACTTACCAAAAGCCATGTGGCAGTGAGTAACAACAAATGACGCGTAAAAAACTACCCAATAATGCGATAACATACCAACTGTTACTGCCGCGATAAGTGAATGACCGAACTTACACTAAGTCAGCCTGTTGATAAACAACCGAGTACATGCACTTTATGCATCTTTACATCGCACATGCAAAAAAAGAGCGCGCAAATGTTACTCTTAATGTCCAATTATTTTCAATACATCGCAACATCGGTAAAGCTAATTACTGCCGTCTTGAATGACTATCTAGTTAGCCTTAATATTGCTTAATTAATAATTATTGCCCGAAATTACCACTGATTAGTAATGAATGCCATCTCGAAGTCATTAAATTAATTGTAGCATATGCTTCTCTCTGCGTTCGTAATTATGTTAAATCTATAACTTGTTAATACCAAATTTGTTAATAACAGAATTATTAGCGTCGATAACACAGTATTAACAGCATTAACGTGCAATGCAGTGCAGTTGCACTGCAGACTGCACTCACCGTGTACTGTACACCGGTAACGTGTACCACGCACAGTGCATGGATAAGTCAACGATGCCCAACGCAAAATCTAGTCGAGACTAGATTTTCCGTTTGGCAATGTTGCCTTAAAGTGGGCATGTGTTGACTGTTGCAACAAACCAATGCACAACGCTTGCGTTATCTCTGAATGAGACATAGCAGCATGACGCACTGTCCGTTGGGCAGCATTATCATAAGTCAGTCACTGCTGAAGGTACCTTATGTCAGGCCCACAAGCCTGTACTTGTCTCGTATCTATAAGAGGGCAAAGTAAACGTGCTCCGCTGTTCCCCTGTACTGCTGCCGTCACCCGCCTGGAGTGTGACGTTATGGCTGAACATGGCGCTTACGTACTGCGCCAGATTTAACCATATGTATTGCCGTAACGTCACACTCCAGCCGGGTGACGGAAGCATTACACGGGAACGGTGGAACACGTCTACTTTTTCCCCCTACATACAGTACTCCGTAGACAGCTTGCAAAAACCCAAAGAGAATACCAAAGCCGATCAAAAGCGACAAAGCAAGATGTAATCAATGGCACTTCGGCAATCACCTAAAACTGACACTTTCGCTTATTTTTACTAGCTGTGCACATCCATTCATGATGGAGATATTACGCTACATATTGATCACTAAAAATTAATCTTGTTGATGCTATAAATTGCAATAATTTTCTAGCTTTGGCACACTGGTACAGAGAGCGAGCCCCGTACCCAGCTAGGTTGTTACACTTTAGCCGAAAATAATTTTTTTGTTTTTCGGCTGCACTTAGCAGAATCTCCCTGATGCAGTTTTGTAACTCATCTGTGCCCCGTGTTATTTTACGCCATTCTTTGAGTGCGGCAGCTGCGCTCCCCACTTTCCCGAAAAAAAAACCTTTTATAAAAAATTTTCCCAAAGAAAATTCCGCCGACGTTTTGACCGCAAGAATTCAGTCGGCGCTTTGACCATACTCCGCCAGCAGAAAAATCCGCCGGCGTTTTAACACAAAAAATTCTGTCTACGTTCTGACATGGCGTTTTTCTGCCGGCCGATTTTTTCTGTGGCCAAATGGCGGCAGAATTTCCTGCTCGTAAATTTTTTTACGAAAACGCAAAAATACCCGTACTCAGAATTGGTCCTTTCTAACGGGTATTCAAGCCGAGCGCATTTGCATATAAGCTTTTGTGCTATTTTGCTTAATATCTTTATGATATACATAATTTTGTAGATATAGTACATAACATTTTTAGTTTTGGAGCACTTAAGTAAATCATACAGTACAGTATAATTATGACATAAATACATAGTTCGATCCGTCGACCATATATCCTTGTCATACAACTGCGCGTATCGAATAAGCTTTAAAACGTTAACAGTGCTTTATTTTGCCGTTTGGAGCATAGTTAGACTTTTTATACGTGCATTTCCACGTCTGCGAGACTGGCCACTGGATCAAACTATACGGTGCCGTGTTCGTAGATGAAAACAACTGAAAAAAATAGATGAAAACTAACATGTAATATGTTATGACGATATGTATTTCGGCCGAACGCGGCTTGTGGAAATCATGAGCTACCGCTTTCTCGCGAAGAGTATAAGCACAGATAGTTGAAGTTCTATACTCATATCATGTATGTAATCAATTTCGTATGGGGTGTTTTCGTTCTTTTGAAAACTAGGGTACATATTTCCTTATTAGCTCTCCTGGGCCCCCGGCAACAGATAAGCCTCAGATCTTGAATAAACGGTCACCAATCACCATGATATCGAACAAACCTGCAACAATGTCTGCGATAGTAAAAAGGCTAGAAATACAGTAATTGTATACAGTTAATATTACAGTTCGTGGTATAGAGCTGCGGGCCGATGAAGATACTTACGGAAGTGTAGAATGTCCACTCTATATAATACATAGCGTGGCAGGTATAGGTACCTTGAGGCAGGCAATATTCTTTTATTATTTTTTATTACGATTTTATTTAAAATTTAAATCAGTTAAACAATCTTGCTGGCATTTAGACTACCGGAAATTCTACCGGCGTTTTGACCACACGAAAATTTGGTCGGCAGAAAATCCTGCCGGCGTTTTGACTTTGGTCATTTGGCCAAAACACGTCAGTTGCACTGACTGAACATAACAACCTGACCAAATTCCCAAGAATTTCATAACAATGTCATATGCAAAGCATAAATCTAGCGTAGTACTAGCAACTACATACTGAATCAACGCTTTTTCATGGGTTCTGTCCCCTTTCTTTCTTATTTATGCCGATTATCAGTTAGGTAATGCTCTTTTTTATTCAATAGGACAAAAAGCAGCGCTGTCATGAATGAAATGGCATAGGAAACGCTTCGCACCACAAAGCAAATCCAGAAGCGTTACTCAATAAACATGTTACATGCCGATCAGTAGTTACATCATATTTTATTTTCTAACGTTGCGTAAGCCCTCTGCCCAGCCTAAATATCAAACAACTACCATTGTAGCTAACAACATATTAAAAGTTACTTTGCAGGACTTAGATTTCGCTTTTACCATATTCGTACTTCGTAATACCTTATTACCATAGTGCGAGTTATTTCCTTTTGTATTGTTGGGAACAATCATGGACGTTATTGCAACCAGTTTTTCCATGGCATTTTTAGTTACTTTCGTCCATCCCATTACTGTATTACCGGATCATCCAAACTCTCTGCAGATTCGGAACGGTCATGAAGCGACACCTCATCACTATACGTGGATGGTCACCATCCAGGCAGAGTACTCGCCTAATGATTTTGAGCACGTGTCCGGTGGCACTTTGGTAAGCTAGTACGAGTAATATGTCAAACAAATTACCTAGAGTAGACTTTTTGCGTAATTGATCCACTAATTTGTAAATCTTTGACTCGGTTTAGAATTACACAGTCATAATAATTGTAAACTTACGTACAATCAATTAGTAATTTTTCGTAACAACGTGCTTTTTTGCGGTTTCTAAATTTTCGTCGCCTAACCTGACCTTCAGCATTGCTCTAGCTTAACGCACACCAGGTGCTTACTGCGGCACACGTGTGCCGGAAATTCAAATTCCTGAAAACGAAATCCAGGAGAATGCGGTGTGTGTTTGGTAAACACGACGTTTCGCAGCAGGAGGTTGGTCAAGTGGCCATTAGAGTCAAAGATGTTTCCTGTTTTCCACAAGTGCACTACAAAAAACACCTTCATGACATATGTATAATGGAGCTGGAGTCCGTACGTACTAAAATAATAATTAATTAATTAATTAATTAATTAATTTATTTATTTATTTATTTATTTATTTATTTATTTATTTATTTATTTATTTATTTATTTATTTATTTATTTATTTGTTTATTTATGTATTTATATTTATTTAATTATTATCTTTGTTCATTCATTTTAATACATTATTATAAAAAAATGATCTCTCTCCAGGGTGTGCCCTTTACGATGCAGATAACTCCGGCCATTCTGGCGGCACCAGGATCGTCTATGGCAGGCCCCTGTTTGCTGATTGGCTGGGGATCCGATGGCTACTTGAGGGTGAAACCGAGACTCCAGCAGATGACCGTAACGCCGCAAGAAATATCCCTGTGCCAGGAACTGGAGCCCAAGTTCTCGTTGAAGAATATTTGCAGCCAGGATGCCGCCAGTCCAGACCATGGAGACAGTGGCGGCCCCGTGATGTGTGATGTTAATGGCGAGTTGCGGGTATTTGGTGTACACTCTTATAAGTAAGTACCAGTAGGCGGGAAACAGCTAAGCCGCTTACAGATTGGGGTGAAAAGATAAATAGTTTTGCAACAGTCAGGTGTCATGTTGTAAGAGCAGATACCAGTAGAGCTGGTGATATAATTATGATGTTTATGTCTGGACGCTTTGAGCTACATACGGTGACTACAGAAAATGTAAAAGTTGGGCAGGTACCGGCACGAGCAACCGCCCTGACCAGTGTACAGTATATTGTGCTAGTGTTGGAATGTTTAATGCGTTTTATTATTTCTTTAATGTGATCAATATAAACGTTTGTAAAACATATGCCAATATTAATTTTTAGTGTTGGATTAAGGAACAACCAGGTGGTAGCTGCGCATGTCGACGTTAGAGAGTACGCTGAATTTATTGCTGATCCACTGAGAAATCCAAACTCTTGCTCAATCACCATGTGCACCGGATTCAACTGCCTTTATAACAGCTTTTAAGCAACCTTCCTGTTGCTGCAAAACTTACAGATTTTGAACCAAATATTAAAGCAACGCAATCACTTATTTTCTTATTTTCGTATTATAAAGTTCATGTAGTTTTGCACGCACTCATTCGTAGCTTTACTATGCAATATTGAAATTTGCCGTTTCAGCTATCAGAATACGTAATTTTATCTGTTGTCTGCGTGCGCTGCGAAAAAAGCTTAAAGAACGAATGCAACTCTGTACGTCGAAGAGTTCGTTACTGTACTGTACGTAAAGCAAACTGAAATGGCATAAACTCTGGAATATGATTGAGCGCTTAATTGCGTTGGTTGTTCCTCCTCGCGTTGTTAGCATTCGGATTCCTTCGGTGCTTTTCAGTATGTAGTATGTACTTTTAACTGGGTACGCTACAGGTGCCATTGCGCAACACTATCATGTATAAATTCGCTTCGTTTACTCCCTTGCAAATTATTCCACCATTGACTCTGTGCGCTACGTTTTTCCTGTTTTCTTCAAAACCGGAAAAAATTTCCAGGAGCTTTTTGCAGTACATATAACTCTGCAAACAAAACGGCTGAATAATATTATTGTCAACATACCCTAGTTTTTCGAGTCTATATCCGCGGAAATTAATAATTTCGAAGGCAATCTATAATTGCGTTATGCGGACTATAGAAGTGAAAGCACTAATAATTAAAATTATTTGCAGAAATTTAGATAGGAGTTTTAACCAAGTCGGTGTGGCTTAACGAGTCGCCGTAATCGAAGTTATAATACTTAGTAAAAAAGCATACTCGACTACGGCTAGCTGGAGCAGCAATGTAGCGATAGGAACGAAAAGTAGTGCCGGGAAAAGTCGTGCACAGGACGTATGGTAGTGCCAAAATGTAACGCACTGAATGCTGCTTATACCGTTTATGGCCTTATACAGTAATTGTCAATCTGAATTAATAATTTTTTACCCCTTTAGAAATTAGCTTTTATCGGTAAGCAATTAAGATTGAATTTTACGAGCACATTCATCAAATTATCATTATTTTAATTTTGCGACAACTTATTGATTCCTGTAGTACTTTGTGTTTAAAATTGTTTTCATAATCGAGCGATGTGCAATCCTTGCAACACATAAACATTTATTATATGACATACTCTCTAATTTACGTCTCTAATTTACACGGCCGGGACGTATATAACGTATACACAATCGACGTGTGCAATATATACGAGTGCTGGTAAATAGGTGACCACCTACACTTTCTTAATGAAGAACGTGCACGTACTACGTACCCTACGGTAGCGAAAGGGACGATCGAAGGCCGTCTTCCACGACATGATCGGCAACAGTCACGTGGCGGCCGAGAGCTACCGACAGGCGGCCGACGCCTGCCAACGCGTAGCGCCCTCTTTCCAGGACATCTTCGTCAACTAGCACAAGACCCCCATCCCCGTCCAGCCGCCCACCCAGCCCAGACCCGCCTGGGAAGCCCACTAGTCGACCATATGCAGCCAATCAATACCGTCGTGCTTCCTTTTTTGCTTAATAAAATATGTACTAGATGTCTGCTTTAGCGTACGTTATAGCCTATTGGAAATTATTTCCACTACCTTTAAGGTCACGGTATTTTATCAAGCTTTCCGTTCAGTACCGCCATCATAATGTCGGAGTTGTATATCACGCAGAAGGTGCCGCATTAAAATTTAGAATGCATGCCACATTACAATGTAAACGGATACGTGCACGCAGTTAATGAATCTTGTTATCCACTAATTGTTCCCGGCCCATATTAATGATACAGTATTATGATACTGTACACTCACGACCGTGTAATTGTATTTTAATACGTGAAAGGGTTAACATTCACAAATCACTTAATTAGAATGGCGGTACAAAACATTCACAAAGTTTTCTTTTTCTCGGCCGGTTGTACATGTATTATGCACGCGCTGAAAAACACGAACGGTTTATGAGCACTAGCAATACGTACGAGTATACGATCGAATTGCAATTGATCTTTATCATGATAAAGCAGCAAATATCGTAATTATGTAATAAAGCCAGGAAATTTAATTGTTGCAGGCGCTATAATGCGCGTTAGGCATATTTAATAACGTTGAAAGCTGTTTTGAATATAAAACATCATACTTTATAAAAAATCGTAACATATTTTAATTTGTTTACTACTTAAGACATTCTTAACGATATGGTACGTACCTAACATCTAATCGTATATTTGTAAGACTGTATGTACGTATCTGAAGCAATGACCTTTGCCCGCGGTCAAGTATTTCTACGTAACTTCTAAATACGGACGATAACTGCGAGTTTACTCTCAAATGCTTCCATACAAATTTTAGGCACAAAACGATAAGATAATTCAAACTGCACTTCCAAAATAAATAGCTAAGTTTTTGGGGAAACCGTAGTAAGCACTAAGCACTCCATGGCTTATCTTCGAACGAACAACAATAGCGTTATTACTGCATTTATTTCACTGCAGCTGATCACTGCATCGCATGATAATAAATCCCAAATTCATAACCACAGACGGAAAAGCGTCAGCATACTCCAGCAATTCGTCATGCAGCAATAATTACCAAGTAGCATCCGCAGCAAAAATAAGTAAATCATCATCCCGCTCCTGTTTTTCCACGGAGGATTAAAAGCGGAGGAAATGCGCAGATGCCGGTACGCAGTAAAATAAAAAGACCAGCATCGCGGATCCGCAAGACGCTGAGTAATCCGCTCCCGCCCATCTCTGACGCATCCGTTAATTATGCATCCGCCGCTGTAGTACTTTAATACTTGTGTATTTACCCATGCAGCGCGCGTCACGCTCCACTTGCTACAGTGAAAACCAGAGCACAAGCCCATTAAGCCCCTATTTATAGCCGATATCCTGCAAACACTCCAGTCTCCTCCACGACTCTCGACAAGCCGATTTATTTGGACACAATCCAAAGTACCTGACTCCGCAAAAACACAATAATCTCGCCTCGCTCAGCAACCGCAAAACCGGGGCGGTGTTTCACAGCGCAAGTGTACAACTTCCCTGTAGCTGCTCGTCCATCACATGCTGTGCAATTGCCCGTTTTCGACGCGTCAGTTATTGATCAATTTTTGGCGCTTGTCGCGTCTTAGAAATCCCTTCATCGTTTTTTTCCACCCTGTTTTTTTCTGTTGATCTGTTTCTGGAATTTTCTCCAGTGTTGGGTTGATATTTTCACCTGAGCGGTTGATACGCGACAGGTTCGGTGTGTTGTGGTTTTGGCGTTTTAGTGGCGTTGATCATAATGCGGAATTATTCCCGCCGCGGGCGATATTTACTACAGGCGTTTAATCGTCGCGGTTAACGTCGGTTTCTCTTCACGCTTGAGGAGAACAAAATGTTTCTGTGTAGTATGACGCGATAATGACCGTTTCTGTCAAGAAAACCTCGGTGACCAGGCGCTGGCCGCGCGGGGTGCATTGTCCCCCCTGACAAGACACCCCTCTCTGGGGGCGACGCTGTACGCGCCGGTGCAACACTTATCCCGGATTATTTTTCTGAATCTTATTCATCCTTCATCACTCTAATTTTCTGGATAAAAACTCTCCCATTGATCGTCAACACCGGTGCAAAAATCCTCGCCCCAAATTGGGGGACTGAATTTTCCTTTGATTTTTGTTGGAATTTTGCTGATTTATTTTCCATTTTATTCCCCACCGAATTTCTCGGGGTTTATTTTTTGTTATAATTTTTTTTCCGATGCCGGAATCACCGTTGGACGGGGCGGCGGCCCGCGCGCTCTTCAGTAACGGGGAGGTGCCGAATAAATCGACGTTATCGCTGGGGTACGGGACGGTGGAGAAGGATTACCAGCGGAAATTCCTGCAGGGTAATGGCGCGGTCGCCGGGGGCGGGGGCGGCGGCGACACGGACAAGGGGCAGTTGGAGCGCCTGCTGAAGAACAGCAACGTCAATCCGGCCAAGAAGTTCATTCGCGACGCTAATTGGGGCCCGAATCATATTATCCGCGCGCATCTGTGGATGCAGTTGGCTAAGCGGCTGACGTCGGACAGTGACTGGCAGCATTCGGTGCAGTTTTATCGGGATAATCTCCCCGATGCCTACCGTAAACAGGAAGGTGAGTCAGAGTGGAAATTTATTTTAAAATTTTCCTGTAAATTTTTTTGTGGATCTATCCACCTTTTTCCCATATTTAAAGTCGTAAGGTTTATTAAAAAAAAATGTATTTTAAAATTGTCATGTTTTAAAATGATTTGTCCAGTAATTTTGTGAAAATTGTAGCTATGACTGCTGTTTTCTTACGTAGAATGTTTAAATTTTTATTTATTTTTTTTCCACTTTTTTTAAAATTCTTTTTCGACTTTTCGAATTTTTTAAAGTTAATTTTTTTTTAAAAGTCGTGAAATAATTCGGAATTGTATCGTCGAATTTTGGATATGCTTTCGGTTTTTTAGAAATTGGTTTCCGACCATTTTAGAAGGATTTGTTTTTAAAGGGTATTTCTGAATTAATTTTCGAGGAATTGTTATTTTTATTTTTTTCTCGAATGTTTGAGGTATTTTTCGAATTTATTTTTTTAAAGAGACAGTGAGATTATTTAGAATTGTGTCGTCAGAATTTTTTGACCGTCTAGACGGTTCGGAAAATTGACATACGGCAACGAAGCGTGTAAAAAATTATTTAACTTAGAGTTTGCGGCGGCATCTCGGTGTTTGCACTGAAATTTCCGGTTTTCCGACTCACGCTAACACACTGACCAGTCGATTGAATTTCCGCTGTTGGGCGCGCGCAACCGCAGGTGAAAGTGTTGTTGGCGCGCGGAATTACGGTGTCAGTGTCATCATCGCCGATTTCATCCTACTTCGATAACACACATAAAGAGCCTTTTTACAGTGTCAGCGCGATAACGCGCGATGTGTGTCCACATCAATAAAAACAATCAGCGACCATCGTATTTACCGTTGACTGTCGAGTGTGTATGTGTGTAAATGTAAAATGTGCCACCTTGAACGCATCCGTGCAATCATGACACACTGTTACAAGGACAATTAAATTTTTATTTCCCCGCTGATACACTTGCCGATGGTTTATTTAGCGGGGTATGATCAATATTTACGCGCGTTAAAAACGGATTTTTCACGATTCATCGATCGTGAAATTTTTATGATTTTCTTTTCGAGTTTCCAATAGAAATTTGGGGGAATAAAAATATAAATATGCAGAACAAATTGAGGACAATAAAATTAAAAACGCCGTTTTCAGAAGAAATTTTTTTAAAATAAACAAATTAATTAAACCGTAACAATTCTGAATTCATGAATTTTTAAATGTCAATAAAGGCACGTCGAGATGTGCTTGCCTAGTTGCCAGTAGATTTTATGATTTTTGCAAGAATTAAAGATTGAACTGCGAAGTAAAATTGTAAAAAAAATAATATGTAAACATTTAAAATAAATCGACAAATCAAACAGTAAAAACTGATCGTAAAAAGTAACTGAATTTTTTTGCTATAATTTGTGTTCGAATAATTCTGTCGATCGACACTTATAAAAAATTTATTTTTACAAATTAGATTAAAGACTTACATTTTTTAAATTAAAAAAAAAATATGGATATAATTGGAAGACTGTTGCATTATTTCATTTAGTGCACTGAATTATTATTAAAATAGAAATTTATTTTTAATTTTTGTTTATTGAATAGATAATTGTAATAAAATGTGTGAGTGGTTGTGCAGGTAGTGGACAGCGCACCATTCCGCTGCCGGTGTTCTGCGACGCGGCCATGACCAACACGTACCACCTGAACGACGAAGGACGCTACCGCTGCCAGAAAGTGCTGACAATGATCGAGGTAAGTGCTCCCGCTGAATGCCAGCGGAGTCTGACCGCGTCGGCATTTTTTGCCGCTGACGCTGCGCCGTGGCGCACTTGACAATTCATTTACATTGCTAATCGTACCTAAACATTTGCCATTCACACCTCATTCACCGACTCCGCCATAAATCCACTGCTTTTTCTTGGAATTCCGTAAATAGTTCTTAAGTTTTTACTCTCAATATTTTTTGAAATCAAATTGCAGAAAATAGCTGGAATTAATAAATTTGTATTAGCGAATAAAAGTGCTGAAATATTTTGCTGTTAATTTTTAAAATAGCTAAAACTATTTAGAAATTTAATGCCAGTTTAAATAGGTTCATCAAATATTTTTCAGTCAATAAAAATAAAATACCGTCTTGCTGCAATTTATTTTTCAATAATCGAAAAAAAATATGCCTTAAACAATTATTATACAGAAATTATTTGGACAATAATCAATTAAAATGCTGGCTAGCGGGATTTATTTTCTTTAATGGGACACTTTTATTTGAACCAGAACAATTTATGTCATTTAATTTAATAATTGTTAAATATTCTTGTTGGAAATGACCTACATATTAAATACGGTAGAACGAGCAGCGAATTTTCTCTTGCATTCACCCGTAATGCACGCGTAATTGTTTGTGAATCTGCCAAACCGGATGAAAATGATGAACCGTTAAAATCCGCTCTTTTAATTCTCCTTTTTGCGCCTATTATTAATTTTCGTGCGGCTGGAAAAACGGCACAGAAAAATGATAGCCGGCAGAAAAAAGCCGCCAAAAATACACCTTTAATTGCTGGCCGTCCCATATTTTTCCCGTCAACAGGATGACAGAGCATTTCTCCTTTTCTAACCATTGTTGAGGGATAAGGTTTATGTCCTGGCCTTATTTGGCGTTTAAGACAGCCGGCGTTGAGTGCGTCAGGAGAGCGGTTTGGTTGAATTTCTTCACTTTGACATTCAGAGCACTGGTTAATCCGACTGCGAGCGGCCGGAAACGATGCTGGCGCCCGAAAAACACTGCGTTTATTTTGGGCGCCTATTGATTTACGCGTGCGCGCTCGTTGAATACATTGGGGTCGGTAACGATTGCTCTCCAGTGGCGCCCGGGCGCTCCGGGGGGAGACGTTGCAGATGTGTGGCTGACAAGTGTAAATAATCCCCGAGAAAAATGTGGGTGCGGAGAAGAGAGTGCGCGATTGAATGGGACGGGATGAAAACGGAATAATGCTTCCTTCGCGTGTTGCTCCGATTCCGCGGGATGTGTGCAAATAATAGCGTAGAAGGACAAAAGGCGCACCGGTTGAGGAATAACGGTTTCGGGAAGAAAAGTGGGTTATCTTGAGCTGTTCCACGCCACCTGAACGATTTTAGAAAATGCTTTTTGTAAATCGAAAAAATAAAATCGCGGGACGTCTGATAATTCCTTTGAATAGGTGGAAATGTTTTTAAATGGTGAATAAAAAAGAAATCGAATAATACAAATGTAAATTAATTTCAAATAAAAAGTAAATAAAAATATTAAATATATAGTGTGGGGAATGTGTGAGTTATATGTAATACATTGCTGTAATTAATAATTTAAGGATAAGGTCATTTAAAACCTAAAAAAAAATGCGGGGAAAAATTCGAATACATTAGAGCGATCGAAGATGACCGAATAATGCTTCTTCTGCGTGTTGCTCCGATTTCGCCGGTAATGTAAATAATATCGTAAAGGACAAAAATAGCACCGTTGGGGAATATCAGTTTCTGGGAAGAAAACGGGTTATTTTCACTTGTCCACGTCACCTGAACGATTTTGAAAACACGTCACCTGAACGATTTTGAAAAATATCCTTTTAAACATCGAAAATAAATCAACGAATTGTCAGCGCAAAAAAAGAAAACCGATTATCTTAAAATTCAAAATAAATTTCTGTGAATTTTTAATTTGTTTTTTAACTGGTCATTTTAATTTATGAAGCCAGCGATTTCTTGATTTCTTTTGCTTTTTTATTTACTGCTATCAAGATTTTATTGTTTTTTCCTTGCCACATTTGTTAGGTTTCTTCGGTTTCTAAGAAACCTGAGAATAATAACCTTCTAAATATTTCGAGATTCCTGAGCAAACGTAGTGCGATGGCGCAGTGCGGTGACAGATATCATTAGTATTTCTAAGCGGCGACTACTAAATGAGCGTAACAAATATTCATTAATCTATCCGTTTTTATTAATAATCATCGCATAGTTATGGTAATAAAGAAAGGAACACGCTATATTAATCACAACAGCAAAACTTCATTTAAACTATCCACTCCGTTAAACAAATATTTGATTTCCTCGAGACATGGTTTTTTATACGTTAAAGGTATTGTTGAACAGAATTTTGTATAGAATTATTAATTAATAGAATTATTAATGTGTTCTTATTAATATGTTGCTTAATAGAATTAATATTTAATTTGACAGGCTAACCAGCCGGCGATCACGTTCGCCCCGGTGCTGTACCCGGTGACGGCGCTTCTCCTGCACTTTATCGAGGACGAGGCGCAGGTGTTCGCCTGCGTGGACGCCCTGCTGCGGCCGCGCACTGTCCCGCGCCGCTTCACCGGCGAATCATTACACGCCAGCCGCTCCGCCTCCCACACCGTCGCCGAGCTGGTGCGCCGTCGCATGGTGAGTTTTCAGTAACCCGGGCGGTTGCCCTTCACGCAGCCACTCCAGAGTTGACCTTGCGCTTTTAATCTTTTGTAAACGGCTGTTGGTTTAACACTCTGGCTGGCTTTGGAGTAAAATGGAATTGGCACAATGTTAGTATTTTTTTGAATTGGTAATTTCAGGGTTTAACCTAAATTTTTTTGTGGTTACGAATTCGCTTAAAATTGAGATAAAATATAAAATGATTCAGATTGGATTTATTTACAAATTAGAATAAATATTTATGGAAGATCGTGACATTTTGTATTGGGAATTTTGCTGTAACAAGCAGTATCTATAACGTTAATTTATTTTTTATGCATTTATGGGGGAAATATTTTCATCAGTTTAATAAAAATTATTCCCGTTGGAAATTAATTTCCGTCATCAGTTTTGTCGACTTTTAACGATTAAAGTTAAAAAACTTTTTTTAATAAAATATTTTATTTGCGTATCAGATTAAATAGAATATTCTAAATTCTAAACATTTGTACCGGAAATGCGTGCCTGTTATTAAATCAGCGGTGGTTGTTTTTAATTTTTATTTTAATATTTTAATTAATTAATATGCTAACAATTTCGGTGATTGTTTTGATCACAACGATCACAGACAACTTGCTATGTTTTGTGACCGTAGAGGACGGTCACATTGAACGGGGATGTAATTAACGGAAATTTTATCGGCAGCATAAATCAACGATAAATCTATAAAAATATGGGTGTGTGCTTTGCAGAAAAAAGTGTACAATTTCATCCTGCATTCCATCGGATCCACACCCATCGATGATTTCTTCGATAACTGGCTCAGATGGATATTCGTCGATCTCCCCTTCGAAGTCGTGGTAAGCCGGTCTCTTGCAGCATTTTTTGAGCGAAATAAATTATTGTCTTTTTTAATTTTCTGTTTCTTTTTGATTTTATATTCTCTGAAAGTCTTTTCTTTAATGTAAATTATTTAATTCCTTTATTTCAGTAATATTTGCCTTTATTTTTAATTTTAAGTTCCTATTTATCTGTATTTATTTGTGCAATTAATTGGATTTATTTTGATTTTTGGAATTTTTCTGTAGATTTCGGTGATTGTTTACACAGCTAAATTTCTGCGTGCCTGTTCGATTTTCTGTTCGTTGATTTGTGTTGTGCTTCGTTGAGGAATGCGGCAGCCTTTAAGTGAAGCTGATTATTAATTCATGACGTGAGTACTTGACTGGCTAATGAGCACCGGCATCGTGGCATCACTGGCATGTAAAATGCGGTTAGAGATTCCGGCTGCCAAGATGTCAGTCACGTCGTTCGGCTTTAAGCTCTTGTCATGTTCCACATCACGCGCGTTTTTCCCTTTTTAATTAATCATTATCAGCAGACAAACCGCCATTTTTTTCCCCTTTAAATGATCTTGGCATTACTACAAAATCGTGCCGGAATTTCCACATTGAAAATCTTCTGGAAGTCGTGATAAATTAACTGATTGCTTTTTTTCTGGCAGATATTTTTGCTTGATTTATCTTGACAAATTTTTATTGAAATAAAATTTGTTACTTAATCAATATTACTAATCTAATAAACAATAAGCATTTATGTAATGCATTAATAATATTTTTGCTATACATAAATGATTTTTTCCTGAGATGATAATATTTTCTAAAATTAAATTAATTTTATTTATTAGTTTTGTTCATTTCTTTATATATAAACTGCATCGGCATCTCCTAAAATAATATTTTAATGCTTTTATTCCTGATAAAATATCTTTTGTAATTAATATTATAAAATTCTTCGGCTTCGTTTATAATGGCTTTTTTTTACAAGTTAGAAAAGCTTCAATAAAATCTGCAAAATAAAATTGAGTGCTATATAATAATTTTCGGAAAGATTTTACAGTTTTCGGAAATTTTCACTCTCGGTTGGGGAAATTCAGTTGACATTTATGCATCAGCGTTCGTTGTGTTGTTGATTCGTGGGAAAATTTGAAAACGCGATTTATCGGCAAATATTATACGAAATTCCATTGACGCCGCAGTACTATGCTATCGATGACGGATTTGTCACATGTCGGCGCGATATTCAGCGCTTTGCATTATAATAAAACGCTGGCGTCAGTAGAAAAACAGATACTTTTGCTTGGATTAAATCCATTATTTGGCCGAAATACAAAATGTAAATTGAGCGCAAATGTTTGGCTTATGTTTGCCAAAGCGGATGTGATGCTGTTCTCCATTGCACAAATGTTGCCATAAATTAAAGCGGACTGGTGCGGCAACATTGTGTTCCCGCGTGCCGCTTGGTTTAACGGCGTGTGTAATGTATTGATCCTAAACGCTTAATTGATCACGTTTTTTTATGTTTAATTAATTCAGCACGTCAAGTCTTCCTCGCGTTCAGTGACACAGCAGTGTCGAATTTTTTTTCAATAAGCATTCGCTTCAATATTGTGGCTGCCAAATTTAACAGAAAATGAAGAAAAAAATTCTTGTGAAAATTTGTATCAATAAAAGCATAGAAAATCTTTGGTAGCCAAAATGGCAAAATTAACAGAAAATTATCGGCAGATTATGTAAAAATGTTTAGAAAATAATCGCACGGAAGACAATTAAAATTTAGAAGGATGGAATAATGAGAAGAGTTTTTGAAAAAATATTACTCGAATCGCTAGCATTGCTGGTGGAACAGTATGCACAAACAGGAGTTGAATTATTTTTGTGACCAGATGCGTGTGTTTTCACAAGCCAGAATGTAGTTCAAGGGCTTTAAAGATTCGACTTCTGATGGGTTTGTCTGCTCTGGTCTTAAAAACTTTCGTGTCTAATAATAATTCGTTGCAATACTATTTTCTGGCCGCATCGTTTTTTTTCACTCTTACTTGATCTTGTTTTAATTTTATACATTTATTTATCGGTGATTTTTGTAAATTTTATTTTTGTAAATTTATTTATACATATGTGTGGCATAAATTATTAAAGAATTTATCTTCTGTAGATTCGGATCGTGGACTGTTACCTATACGAAGGCATGAAAGTGCTCTTCCGCAGCGCCTTGGCAATACTGAAAATATTCCACCGAAACTCGGGTAAATAATTGTCGGTTTTAATTTCATCCGGATTTTTTCTAACAGCTTGGAAATTTTTTTAGGCCAACCGGCATCGCTGCCGAATCTGTCGGCGTCTATCTCCCGTTACTGCCGCGAATGGCCGTCGCACAGCAGCAGCACGGAGCTGTTGAAAGTCGGCTTCGCCTTCTCGCGGCTGTCGCAGGAACAGATCCTGCTGATGATCCGCGACTACGAGCAGGTTATTAAATCTGCACCGGCCGCCGATCTCCTCAACCAGAACAGCGCCACCGACCTCCGTCCGCGGGGGCTGGAGCACCACCGGCGCAGTCTCAGCGTCCCGCTGCCTTTCGTCCCCGCCGAATTATTACAGCGCAGCCGTATCCTCAATCAAGACCAGGTAACGCGCTAAAAAATGTTGTTTTTCACTTTTTGAATAATAATTATATTGTATAAAGTTTTCCGGATTTTCTATCAGTTTTTAAAATACATTTTGCGGGAAATAGAAATTGGGATAGATTTTTTTGTATGTAAAATAAATTCGGTTAATCATTTTTAAATTAGGTGAGCTCAAGAACAGTTGATATTGTTGGTTTGATCTAATAAAATTGATAAAATAATATATGTCTCTAAGGACAATTTTTTGTGGTCATTTTTTAATATGATTTTGTCAGTAATTTTCTGAATAATACTGGTAAAAAGAACACGTTTATAATAATAATTTTCTGAATTCATATTTTGCGTCTTATTATGTTTGTCATAGATTATTATGTACTCAGAACTGTTCTTATTTAAGTTTTATGTCTTTGTAGCCACTGTACTGCGATTTACTGTGTAGAATACCGATAATAAGTTTTCTTCATGAAGTTGTTTTTTGATTATTTTTCACAATGATTTGCAAAGATGCACGCATGCTGGATAACAAATAAACCGGGAAATTCTTCGATTATTATTACTGCCTGTTTTGCAGTTATTTTTGAATTTTTTCTTCACATACTCGCTAAAGTTTGCGGTGAGTTTTAGCGGGTATTCTGAACGGTAAAAAATTGTAAAATGTATTAAGGTATTGAATGCGGGTATTGACATGCGGCATGCCTATGATTTGCAGCTGTACTGTCTGTGGCAGTGGTTGCCGTTGCGGCACCGCATCTGCCAGCCGACACTGCTGTACACGTCGGAGGAACACGGCGTCAGTCTGGTGACCTTTTTCCAGCAATGCGGGAATAACGAGCCGACCCTCCTCATCGTTAAGACCAAAACCGGCGACGTCTTCGGGGCCTTCTGCAGTCACAGCTGGGAGAACCGCCACCTGGGGGTCAGTCTGCTATCTGCAGCAGCAGTTTGTTTCCTTCCGAAAATTTATAATTAAAAATTATGGATAGATATAATCAGCAAACGAGCATAATAAATATTATAATTATGTTACTTGTAAAATTCATAATTATGCGCACATGAAGCTTGTTGATTGCAGTTGGTAATTGCAGTGTAAAATGGTTAAATATAAATGACACAGACTAGAACACACACTGCAATATCGTAGTGCATTGGCTAAAATCTTGCGGGTGTCATTTCGTTTTGATATCGTTTAATAAGATAAGAATTTTCATGCTTTGAGTGAAAACCGTGTATTTTTTCAGGGTAAAAATCTGAGTTATTTTGGAACGGGTGAATCATTTTTATTCGCGCTATTCCCCGAGCAGAAGATTTACCAGTGGGTGGGGCTCGGAAAGGAGGTGACGCCCAGTCCGAGTAGCTGCCTGTTCATGGCGGCCGATTCGAATTGTCTGATTATCGGCGGCGGCGGCGGATTCGGCATCCGCTTCGACTCCACGTTGGCCATGGGCCGCACCGAGACCTGCACCACCTTCGCCAGTCCGCCGCTGTCCGATGCGCCGTCGGGCGATTTCCAGTGCACCGTCGTCGAGGTCTTCGGATTCGCCAATTAATTCCCCGAATTTATCCTGAATTTAATCCGAAAAATCACAGAAGTTATCCAAGTAATTTCTGAATTTATCAGGATTTATTCGGAAAATTGGCCAATAATTGGCGAATTTATCAGGAATTGTCTGGCAAATATCGGAAGAAATTGTTCAGTAACTTTGGGATTGATCGGGCTCGCGGGAAAATTTACAGAAATCATCCAAATAATTTCGGATTTTGTTTTTCAAAAAAAAAATCCGGAATAATCCAGCATATATTCTGCATCAGAATTACGACTGCGGAGAAACTGAAAGAAATTTCGAAGCTTTGAAATTGTTCTTTATTTTGAATGTCTGGAGATCTCTCTTCATTTGTGGCAGACAGCTTTCCCGGAATTTATGATTATTTTTGGGTGGAAAAATCGCTACGAAATGTTGGAAAAATTCCGGGAAAACATATGATTACTATTTTTCTCTTGGATTTGGGAGAAATTGGAGAAGTCGACATGTGATTCGTCTGTGCAGATTTTTGATTAATCTACCGTTGAAACCAAAGCCGTTTCCCTCATTTATGCACACACAATTCAAGACAGTTCCTATTTCACAAAAATGCGATTGATGAATTTGACGCTGCGCTTTCGTGTTGCCGTTGGTGGATTGTCGTTGGCCCGATTTTGCTTCTTGTGTGCGTTCACTAACATTCCACGGTGGTTGTTGAATTTTGTTTTGTACATAAACCATAGTCAAAGTGTGTCGCCACAATAACGGTTGAAATGTGATGATTTAATTACTTTGTCTATTCGTGCGCTCCGCATTGGCCGCTTACAGGATCCCGCCGGTTCCTGTTGTACCGTTTCTCTTCGTTTGTGCCAATGTTTTCCTAATGGTTTCTAGTCATTTTGTGCGATACGTTATGGTGCCCATGTAATAAGCGGACTGCGATGTGGAATAAACAACTCTCTTATGAAGAATACATTTTTTTAAAATGTGCAATAAATTATGCCGATACTTCAAAAGATATAAGATGTACGAACAGCTCTTATTGAAACGATATAATGATAATAATAACGGAAAATAAAAATGTCGATCACGCTTACCAATAAAGACTAAGTAAAACTTCCAGCGGGTTGTTGCCGTTAAACTATAAAAAACCTTTGTCACGAACCATCAAACGAATACGTACTGTACACATTCTCCGCTGTGTATTTCATCGGCACACAAGTGAAGAAACGCTTGCATGCGCCTTTCAGCTGTTTGCTATTAAGTACATTTTGCCAAAATCTATCATCCGGATTGACCGGGTCCATCACAATACGCTTTCATAATGATATTATAACATTGTACATGTATTGTACATCAGCGGCGTCAATAGCAAACACAGGCACCGATGCGGCTGTACCATGCACGATATCAGACACTATAATACGAGTAAAAATGAGGTTACCGGTAAGCGCAGAAGGACTGAGGTTTGGCTCAGTTGTTGTAGTGTTCTGTCGTAATTTCGTTGATTGTCGTTAGATTTACTCCGTTAAACTCCTGGGCGTTCCACGTGTTGCCCATACGATTAGGGACATATTCAGATTCGTACCGCGATACGTTCGACAACCGAGTGGGAATTGGCCATGTCCCAGCTTTAGACACCTTTGCGGTCATTCCATCGGTACACGCTGATACGGTACGTGCCGGGCAGTTGCTTCTTGATGAGGGTACTGTCGGCCCACGCTGAAGCGTAGTCGTTATGAATCAGATTATCAGCACTCAGTCTCGCTCCCTAACATTCCACACGAGTACGCTGTTGGCTATATTGCAGTGGTCCTTCGACCACCAGCACCATAAGGGAATATCTGATATTGAAGAGAAATATACGAATGGCATCGTAAGACACGTCCGGCATCAGTGACTGGGCGGTGCCTAAACCGTCTCCACTGAAAACGACCACTGGGAAAGATTTCGGTATGTATCCTACCGCGCTGACAGTTGCCGTATCCTGCGGGTAGACTTTGCACCCACATACCATATTGAACCGATGTCGTTGTCGCGAGAATAGGCCCGGAAACATTGTTCAGGCCGTTACGAATGTTAATATTTACCGAGATGGCATGCACACCATGCAGATGGCCGTCACAGCCATCAGGTGTCATATATCGGAGCTGGCCAAAGCCAGTCCCGTTTCCGGCCAAGGTTTCGTTGATCCACAACAAGGGGTCCATTGACACCTTGGCGTCCAGGCTGAGATCGCGATGGAGGTCTTGTAGACGAATCGGAAAGAAGCCAGGCATCTCGAATGTTATGGTGTAGGTGCTCGTCACTGGTAAGGACAACGTCAGTTCACCGATAGCATTTGTTGTTGCAGTTTGACTGTCGAACAGCAGATCGTTTGCATCTCTCAGAGTGGCATACACCGTTGAACCGTTCCGTTATTGATTGACTCAAAAGTCTTTGCATTCCTGGAGTGCCAAACGGCTGTTACTCTTCGCTCTGCAAACAGCCAGTTGGTTTATGCTCAAGAACCAACCCGGAACGTCACAGCATTGTGTCATAGCACCAGTATGCTTTGCCAAAACTGCTGAACATCCATTGATAAATCTTTCTTACGCTCTTAACTGTCTCGGAGAATGGAATTTGTGACACTTTCGTCACCAGTTGTTGCACCGTGTCCCAAAAATTTTTTATCCCTAAAGTTCCCGTGCATGTAAATACATCCGACATCAATTTGGTTCCATGTAGCGGCACACTTCTCCTCTTCCGGGCGATAAAACTTTGCGAAATTTAATGCTTTCGCTACTACACACAATCATTGAAAAGGTCGGTGTACAACAAATTAAATATCTTCAGTTTTTCGTTTCTGTTAATAACAGTTTTTGGAGCTAGTCGAACGATTTTCTTCATTTTGATAGTGTTTTGTAAGAAAAGACAAAGTAATCTTTTTGTCGAAGTCTGCGTTAAAAAATTTGGTTTTCTTACACAGTTGCACTACACTATTTTCGAATATTAACTGCTCCACGTAACAGTTTTAAAGGATCTTTCAAGGTCACCTTGAACTCATGCCTGTACCGGTACGGCATTCGAGCGATGGTCCCAGGGTAGATATTTTCGAAAACAAAATGCATATGGGACCCTTTCGCAACATGCTGAGTTTAGTGGTGAAATCGGTTTTTTAATCTGTTTAGTGGTTTTTTCAAGCCACGTTCCACGGGGCGGCCGAGCATAAAACAGATCTATTTCCTTGATAATTTTATACTCGTAACATTCCTATTTGCTTTTTTCAGTCGTTACCCGCGTCCGTTGCAAACATAGGCCCGAATGTGTGAAGCAGTAGCAGGCAAGATAGAGGACAACACAATGCAAATTATGGTTAAACATAGAAGCAACTCTGGTTAGCCATAAATGTTGTGCTCCAATGTCGTAATTTCATTTATTGTTGTAATATTTAGCCCGTTAAACTCCGCCACGTTCCACGTGTCGCCAGGACGATTGGGGACATAATACCTTGCCCATAGATTTTTACCACGATGGAGTTCGACAACAGAAAGGGAGTTAGCCAAACGCCAGCTCGTTACTCCGTAGCGGTCATAATAGTATACGCTGATCCGGTACGTGCCTGGCAGCTGCTTCGAGATGACGGTGCTGTCGGCCCACTGCCCACAATAGTCGTTACGAATCAGCTTATCAGCGCTCGATTTCGTTCCCTGACATTCAACACGTGTACGCTGTTGGCTGTCTTGCAGAGGCCCTTCGACCACCAGTTGCATATAGTTATGCCGAGCACTGAAGAGGATTATCCGAATGTCATCGTAAGACACGTCAGGCATCAGTGACTGAAGGGTGCCTAAGCCGCCTCCACCCCAAACGACGACCGGGAAAACTTTCGGCATGTGTCCTGTCGCGCTGACACTTGCCGTGTAATACCCCGATGGTAGATCCTGACTCCAGTGACCAATCGAATCCGTTCTGGCTGTCGCGAGAATGGGCCCGGAAACATTGTTCAGGCCGTTGCGAATGTTAACAATTACCGAAGGGGCGTATGTGAAATCATCGTAGCTATCAGACTGCATGTATCTGAGATTTCCTTGGGCTGTCCCATTTCCGGCAAATGTGTTGTTGATCCACAACAATGGCTCCATTGTGCTCTTACCGTCCAGCTGGAGATCGCTTTGGAAACCTTGTAGGAAAATCGGAAAAAACCCATGCATCTCGAATGTTATAGTGTAGGAGCCGCCTACTGGTAAGGACAGCGTGAATTCTCCGAAAGAATTTGTAATTGCAGTTTGACTGTCAAATGGGAGATGGCTTGCATCTCTCAGAGTAGCATACACCGTTGCGCTGTTGATTGGCTTCCAAGTCCGTGCATTCCTGGATAGCCAGACGGCTGCTATTCTGCGCTCTGCAACCAATCAGTTACTTTTTGCTCGCTAACGATGCTGGGCACCACCATCTGCACGCTTAGAATAAGCCATTTCCCAAATTCATAATACAGCCATACCGGGCGAACATGCATATTTTCCATGTTCGGTACCGTACTTCGATTGTAACTTGTAGGCAGCGCTCGGCCCTTGCTACTGACAACCCGACGCTGTTCAATGTTTAGCAAGGGGCAGACCCATTATACAGCTGTAAGATGCCAGGTTTCACTACTTTAACATCCGCAGCCTCCTGTGGAAAAAGTTCCCGGCGTTTTTGCTCATTGCGAATGTTAAAAAGCTGCTAAGAGGCGCGAGTACAACTTAGAAAAAGATATATTCCTAACCATGGCATGGGCACCGCCTTTTCCGTCAGAAAACTTTCGTTTTTTTGTATGAAGACAGTTATCGAGCTTTGGATTACGTACCTGAGGCTGGAGTTAGCGCACAAAACAGCATTAAACAGCAGCAACCGAATCAATTCTGAATAATAAGCTAATAAGTAACAACATGAAATAAAAATATTTCAAACTGCTAAGGGAGTTACACAAAACGAAAAAAGTGAGGAGGCAAATCTTATTGGGTAACATCATGCTAAAAAAGATTTTTAACGGCGAGACTAGAACAATATGGCAAGCAATGCAATGCCAATGCATAGGATACCGGTATCCTCAAAACTGCTTTTTCGCCACGCCCACTAGATCATTGTCGATGAAGCTATTTTTTTAAGTATTACCATCGCCCTACTCAAGGGGCTTCACTGTATTGCATACAGTGAAGATTGTATGAAATACAATACAGCCCCTAGAGAACCGCGTTGATATTCCGTAACATATAGTGTTTTCAAACAAAAAACGACATTTTTCTGAGGGAGAAGGTGATGACTATGCCCCGGTGAGTGAAATATTTAAGAGGGCAGGTACATTACCAGATCTCTCTGTCGCTGTGTAGGTCAATGTGGTTATGCTTGAATCTGTTGACGATGTTTCTGTTGTAGCAGGCAGCGGGCTAACTGATGGAATCTGAATGTTGAGTAGCCCTAGAAATTAAAGAATGAAAATCGATGTTTTATTTTACGTAGGCGCAGTTATGAGGTTGCCAAAAAAGCACAATGCTGCTGTACCGCACAATGCTGCTGTATGCTCACCTGTGAAACTGCTTGCTGCGGCAGCCCGGCACCCGAAACGTCGATGGATTCTCGCCACATCAAGCGGACTCAGGTTGTCATGCTGGCCTGTTCGGGATCGGCGGGCTTTCGGCACCACCGTTGGCATTTCATTGTTTTTGGCGAACGCGTTGAAAGGGTAATGCATGATGGATTCATAGTCATAAGGAAGTCCGTACGTGTTACCCGCTTCGTACTTTGCGAACTGGTTCTTAGCGCCTGGACAACCGACACCATTAGGGAAAAACCGCAGCACCAGCGGAGTAGTGATTACATGCAGTACTGGTTACATGCAGTTATTATATGCAGTGATTATATGCAGTGATTATATGCAGTGATTATTAGTATGTACTATGTAGTGATTATATGCAGTACTGGTTAGTAGAGTTACGGTAAGCAATGAAGTAACAGAACTGCAACTGCTGTTGCGGTCGCCGTAACATAGTGATTCCATACCTTCCGCTATATTTTCGTCGATAATAATGACATAATTATCTCTATCCGCTCGCGACTGTTCGTGAAGAAATCCCAAAGCGTGCATTATTTCATGCTGGACATCGCCGTGATGCTTTAAGCAACTGGGCGCCAAGGCTATTTCCTGCCGTTTCCCAATGCGTCCGATACTAGACATACATCTAAAAGAAAAATTTTGAAAGTTTAACTGCTAAACCATTTTATCAGAAGACCACAGGCCCGTAGCGAGTTCCGACGGATGGGGGGTGCGCAAATTGGCTGCGCCAGCTGCGCCCGTTTTGAAGTTCGGCCAGCGCCCACTGCGCTCTTGGGTTTGAAAGCCTGCGCCCGTTGCGCACCCCCTATTCCTCGGGTTTCGCTTCAACCCTGCTCCCTTTGGACAGCAGGTCAAAGTCTACTGTGTGCCTAATTCCCAAATTTACAAAAATTTCTACTTTTTAAGGACATTTTAGTCTGTCATACAATGTGAATTCTCTGACAGCGGCGATAAAAGTGCTATTTTAGCTTCTGTATACCCTTATTGTAGCGTTGAAGTTTGTTTCTTTTTGTAAAATTGTAAATAAAATTTACAAAAATTTTATTCAAATTTGACACGGCATTGCGCATGCGCCACGGGCGCACTTGTACCGGCGCCCGTTGCGCCCTTAAAAAATCTCTTGAATTTTGCGCCATCGCGCCCGTGCACAAGTTTCGGGCGCAAAATAAATTCACAAGTTAGCCGATGAGGGGGGTGCGTGCGCCCGTGCGCACCCCCCCTCGCTACGGCCCTGGAAGACCATGAATCAATCTTAATTTTTACTTACTGAATGCCTCTCACAAACATAATATAATCGTCTTCGGTAGTCCGCGGAACAAATTTCACACACTTTCCAGTCATGAGACTGATAATGCTCATGGATTCCAAAATAATGAATCTCTCTCTGCAGGAGCTAGCAAATTTGGCATTAAATAAGCACTTTAGTTATTGCCAATCAAGCAGTCAACAAAAGCCTACTAAATGAGGCAAACTGCTTCCGGGTAAATTCGTAGGGGACGGTGTTATTCGGCCATAAAAGACCAACATCATTCATAGCGTTGGCAGCACCCTACAGAACAAGCACACGCACGCTACGTTGTACGGCACGAGTTCGGTACGGCCCGCGCTCAAGCTCTGACTCAGACTCTGACTCTGACTACTCAAAGTCTGACTCTGACTGTTCAAACTCTGACTCTGACTGAATTACTGTACCTAAGAAACCTAAGAAACCCAGGAATCATAAGAAACCTAAGAAAGCTAAGAAACCTAAGAAACCTAAGAAACCTAAAAAACCTAAAAAACCTAAGAAACCTAAGAAACCTATTAAGAAACCTAACAAACTTTCAGAGTCAGAGTCAGACTTTGAGCGGTCAGAGTCAACTTTGAGTAGTCAGAGTCAGAGTTTGAGTGGTCAGAATCAGAGTCAGAGTCAGAGTTGGAGTCTGGCCGTTCGGTGGGTATTGCACAAGCTGTTCTGGTGAAAAACATGGTTCAGTATGCGGATTCGATCACCCTGACTGGATTAATACACAAAAATAAGGATATTCTTAACAATTAGAAAATGAGCATGTGACAGAAACTGGCGCTATTCGTCGTACTTGCGTCTGGATTGTCTCGATCCCTACAATGTCTCCTTCCGCTAAGTCAATGTGAAAACGATCAGGGTTTGCGTCGCCATTTGCTGATATCATCTCGGGATGGATAAAATCGCGCCAGTCTAAAAAGAACAACTTTAGAAATAGCGTTATAAAGGGCTCCAAGAGGACAAATTTATGGCAACCGAGCTGAGGATCGTACTTGGGGGCAACGTGCTGGCCGTTGCCAGCGTCCAGACAATAGAAATTGCAGCCGTAATCAACCGTATCATGTTGCTAAGACTAATGAGTTTGACTGCATTTGCCTAGAAAAGCGCTGCTTTGTTTCGTAGTAGTTCGCGTTTGGAATATACTTGGTTATTAAATGCACAGCCTATGCTCAAGCTTCTTGCGAGACCCTAGCGCCTGGGGCCGTGTTGCAAAGCAGGTTTGGTCTTTTGCTGCGGGCCACACAACCGGTATTTTATGCGTTAAGCGCCAATGCGTTACTATATGACCGTGCATAAACTTGCGTCTGTGAGGCCGATATAAACGATATTTCGTTATTTCCCCGCGAAATATTGAAACTTGTTTCCAGCATTTTTTCAGATGTCTGACGAAGATTTTTTGACGATGTAACATGATATGGTCAGGCATTCACACGAAAAGGTGTACTATGTATTCCATCCGACAATGAGCCGGTTTTGCTGATTGGCCAGCATTGATGGAATGCCTTCCCCGCGCACGACAATATCGCCCTTCCGGGTAGTTTGCTCGTTCGCTGGTCTGCGTCCGGTGCATTTTGGGCATCTGAACTAGATTTCAGTTGCTACAACCTTTTTCTATGTTGCCAGCCAGGCACATTGGGTGGGAGCTTGGGCGAATATTGCGTTTTCTGGCGTGTACCCTTGCACAATTTCTCACTGCCAAGCGCAGACCATCGACCTGCATCGATTCCATTGATTCCTGCCAGGTAACTGTCCCTGCACAACCGGAAACCTAGAGCATGGATAACCGAAGGAGGATGTGCTCCGGATGCGTGTGTATTGGTGACCAGATGTGTATCTGCACCTAAAACGTAGTGCAACGGCTCTGGGCGCCAAAATTCGGACCACTGCCAGTCTGTCCGTGATGAGTCTGGCTGTCTGCTCTAGTGTTTAATGATTATAACATTTTCCGGTTGATTCTTTTTTTTTATATTTTCACTCTGACTTGTTTTATTTTTTTTATCTATTTCTTAAAACATACTTTGTATATATTTCTTATAAACTTTATTTAATGTAGGTTCGAATCGTGGACTGGTATTTAGACGAAAGTTTGAAAATGCCGAAATCTAAAACGCGCACCGAGGCGCAGCAAACACCAGACTGACAAGTAAGGATTCTGCAGCCAGTGCAACTGTGCTGCAGATCCGTAAAAAAACCGAAGAAATAATATATGGGGTGGAAATTCCCAGAACAGCAAAACACAACGGCAAATGGCCTATCAAGAGGGCGGAGCTATCGACCCTCACATTCGGGTAATTCTAATTTTATCATAATGTTTTACAGAAGCCCGATATTGTTTTTCCCAGGCCAACCGGCATCCCTGGCGAATTTATCAGTGGCCATCTCGCGTTACTGCCGCGAATGGCCATCGCACAGCCGCAGCATCGAACTGTTGAGAGTGGGCTTCGCGCTCTAGCGGCTGTCGCACAAGCCGATCCTGCTGTTGATCCGCGACTACCTGCAGGTCATTAAATCCGCGTCCGCCGCCGATCTCCTAAACCAGCACAGCGCCACCGCCCTCCGCCCGCGAGGGCTAGAGCACCACCGGCGCAGTCAAAGCGTCCCGCTGCCTTTCGTCCCCGCCGAATTGTTACAGCGCAGTTGCATCCTCAATCAAGACCAGGTAACGCGCTAAAAATATAATATACCTAACCTACAGATAGTTCGTAATTTTGGGGGTGAGAATTTTTAATTTGATAAAGTTTCCTGAATTTTCGGGAAATTTTTAATATACATTTTGTGGGATAAATGAGGGAGGGAATTTTTTTATGTTTAGGCAAAGAATGCATAAAATTTAAGTAAGTTAAATCAGCTCAGAACAATCTTGAGGTCATTGTTTTGATTTAATAAAATTCATAAAATAATTTTATTCGACTAAAATTTTGCGCCCATTTTTAATGTGATTCTATCAATAATTTTCTGATAGTACTTGCAAAAATTATCCATTTCTCAATTCACTTTTCGTCTTTTCTGTACTTCTGAGCATACTGCGTATCCAGCACGTACTGGCTCATTTGTGTAGCCACTGTACTGCGATTTTCTATGCGTGTAAATATAACAGCTTTTGATCTTGAAGCTTTTTTAAGGGTTTTTGTCACAAAAATGCAGGATTGCTGAATAATAGTTTTTAGGCTGGAAAATTCTTCGATTACTATTACTGTATTTTCACAAGTTTAAGGAACATGGTGGGGTCGTGGCCAGTGTGGCCGGACCGTCGGTTACTTTGATTTCAAAGGGGCCGACAACCCGTGCGCACGGCCCGGCCCCTGGAGCGTTCCTTAAACTTGTGAAAATACAGTAGTTCCTTGCTGCGTGTTTACAATTATTTGTGAAATTTTTCCCAACGTTTCCAACAATTTTTCGGTGAGTTTTATCGGGTGTTCTGAGTCAGAACTAAATTTGCTAATATGCCAGCGGAGTCCATGGTTCTGACCATTAAAAATTTGTACAGCTATGGAAATTGATAAAAATAAGTAAGTCATTAATATGGAAATTAGCAGGCTTTATGTTGCAGTTGTACTTTCTGTGGCAATTGCAGCAGAAAGTGCATTTTCGAAATATTTTTGAAATTCCTCAGACCTGACCTTTCACGGTTCAGGTATCAGAACGGTTGATTTTTCAATTTTTTGCCTTGCGGCACCGCATCTGCCAGCCGACTCTGCTGTACACTTCGGAGGAGCACGGCGTCAGTCTGGTGATTTTTTTTTCAGCAGTGCGCCAACAACGAGCCGACGCGCCTCATCTTCAAGACCAAGCAGGGCGACGTCTTCGGGGCCTTCTGCAACCACAGCTTGGAGAAGCGCCACCTGGGGATCAGTTACTTGTCTTCATCAGCAGTTTGTTCTTCTGGAAAAATCCGTCACGCAGCAGTGTATAAATCATAGGTAATAATGGTCAAAATCTCCGCTTTTATGTACGATGAGCAATTTTGTAGTGGACTGGCTAAAAACTTCCGTGCCTTCGCTTTCCGTACTCTGTGGTCATGACGTAATCAGTCGTTCATTCTAAATGATGAAATCCGCGTTACAATTTTTTATGTTAAAATTGTCAGCTTTCTTAGATTTCTTTATTCTGTGGTCCCAATATTTAGGGTAGATAATTAAAATAAACACTTTTGATATTTTTTCAGGGTAAAAATCCTAGTTATTTCGGAACCGGTGAATCCTTTTTATTTCCGTTGTTCCCCGAGCAGAACATCTACAAGTGGGTGGGGCTGGGAAAGGAGGTGACGCCCTGCCTGTTCATGGCGGCCAATTCAAATTGGCAAATTATCGGCGGCGGCGGTTGATTCGGCATCCGCTTCGATTCCACGCCGGCCATGGGCCGCACCGAGGCCTGCACCACGTTCGCCAGTCCGCCGCTGAGCGACGCCCCGTCGGACGATTTCCAGTGCACCGTCTTCGAGGTCTTCGGGTTTGCCAAATAATTCCCCGAGTTTATCCAGAATTTATTCGGAAATTGTCGGGTAAACAGTCTGTCAGTCAGCAAAATGTCGTCAGCAAATCGTCAGCGAACTGTCGTTCAGCAAAATGTCCTTCAGCGATTTGTTGTTTCAACAAACAAACTGTCGGGTCAACTTTTTGTCGGTCAGCAAATAGTCGTCAGCAAGTTGTCGGTCAGCTAGATGACCGTCAGCGAGCTGTCGGTGTGTCCCTTCGGGCACCCTTCGACCACCCACTCCATATAGTAATAAAGGTGCCTAACGTTAAAGAGATTATCCGAATGTCATCGTAAGACTGTCTTACTAAGACACATCAGGCATCAGTGATTCAACTGTGTACAAGCCGTCTCCACGCCAAGCGATAACCGGGAACGATTTCCGTATGTAGCCTGTCGTGCTGACAGAGTGACAATTGCCGTGTAATATCCCAGTGGTAGACTTTGGCTCCAGTGACCATCTTCATTCGTTGTGGTTGTCGCGAGAATGGGCCCGTAAACATTGTTCAGCCTTTTCGAATGTTAACAGTTAACGAAGGGGCACGTGTGTCGTCGCCATAACTACCAAGTCTCATATAAAGGAGATATTCGTTGGCTGTCCCATTTCCGGCCATGTTGATCCACAACAAGGGTTCCATTGTGACCTTGCCGTCCAGCCTAAGATCGGAACGAAAGTCTTGAAAGAAGAATCGGAAAGAACCCGGGCATCTCGAATGTTATGGTGGAGTTGTTGCTCATTGGTAAGGACAGAGCCAATTCCCCGAAAGCATTGGTTGTTGCAGTTTGGCTGTCCAACATCAAACCGTTTGTATCTCTCAGAGTAGCATAGAGTCATAGACTGGTGCATTAGGTGATCGAATCCCATGTCTGAGCATTCCTGGATAACCAGACAGCTCTTACTCCTCGCTCTGCAAGCAATCAATTGATTACGGATCGGGGAAGAAACCGGATGCCTACAACGGCACCACAGCACGTTTATTTCAACGCTAAAACAGCTGTAAAATTTGGGCACTGCTTCGCTATAGGAGGATACTTGAAAGTACACACCAAAACCTGGCAATACCATGGGCGACGTCGTAGCAGTAACCTTTCTGATCTCCCTAACATGATATCTCTTCAACCATAGATTGACCATTTCTCCCGGAATTTACAGTAAAGCACTCACCTTCGTTACAAGTGTCAGGGCAGACTAGCCTCGGGCAATGCTGTGGCACAACAGAGACATCTTTTTGATTGCATTTGTAAGCAGCCTTCACCCTGGCGACATCCAACAGACAGAGGCCATATTGTTGGCCCATCCAACGAGGCGGTGTATTGACTCTTGGCGCAATGGCCGGTTTGTCGGGGCTTTTGGATAATTCCTCACCGTAATGCAGCAGCGACTCTAAATCATAAGTAAGGCCGAAGCCCGAAGGTGGCCATTCGAGGCAAGTTTGTGGAAGTTCCTTTCGTGGATATCGGTCACCATGTTACCGGGCACTATGTTGACGTAATCGTCCCGATCCGGTCGCCTGTGTTCATGGAGGAATCCCAGCGCGTGCATAATCTCGTGCTGGATGGTTCCGAGTGATAAACAGTGGGCATGTAGTTTCATTTTGGTGGGATGGCCGACAATGCGGCGGCATTGCGGGCAGTGTTTGCCTTACATCTGGTAACAACGGTTACTCGAGGAGGTTCCAAAGGAAGCTGCGATTACAGAGACGCAACGTGAACAGGTTGCACTGGCGTGAATCCCGTGTGAAGCTCGATTAGGATGTACTGTTTCTGGGTTGCGGCGCGTTTCTTGAATGTTACGCAGCCGCTGACCCGCCATTCCAGGATTCGCACTGCACTTTCGATTAGAGTTCTTGGTTCGTCGTCTGGAAGTTTAAACAAGGATAGCACCTCAATCGTAATGCGGAAATAAGAAAATGTTCGCGAAAAGTTTAAACTGATTCGCCACGATTTTTTTGTTTATATGGAAACAGTACCGTAACGGGAACGATGGGCTTTGGCAAATATATGACACTCCAGTAAAGTATGCAACAAAACCTATTCACACACAAGAACTGTTTAATATTTACTACCTTGTAAAACGGGCGCAGTTGGGGTAGCAGTATCACGCTTACATCTGTTTTGCGTCCCAACAAGTTGTGACCGACATATTGCTGATTAGCAACCCAAGCCGCTAGCCTTGTATCCTACCAGGCAGCAACGGCAAACGGGATCGCCGTCAACGAGGAACCTCTTCCCGCCGGCTTCAGGAAACTATTTAAGAGGTAAGCGCACCCGCTTTACAATTAGTCTAGCAATAAAGGACCGAAGTAAAACCAGAAGCGTAGTGTACTGCATAAGACTCAAAATTAATAAAACCTCATTCAGCTGCAGCACGGAAAACAGTTTCCTGAACGTGTAAATAAAAGGTGAGCATAGTGCAACATAGTCAGCAGACCAAAGGGCATGATTTGGAATCGGTCTGCCTGAATCAGCCTCCACGTTTCCTTTTAAAGCGATTACATTCCTAAACATTACTTACTGAAGGCTGATGGGGAGTGAAGCAAAGAGACGAGAATTTTGTCAGAAATTTGAAATCAAAGGAGCCTTGTAAAACTCCAAGTTCGAAGACTTTATTGACACATGGACATATAGATTCAGCAGCGAATTCCATTATAAGCGATTGCAATAAACAATAAAGCTTGTCTAAAACGTTACTAGAAGTCAAATCTTTTTTCCCTGTTTTTCTGTGGACCCGACTTTCAAGCAAGTACATAATTATTAAAAGTTAACCTTAATAGTTCTTCATTTGTCGTATTCTTCTAAATTTTCGGTACCAGCAGGGTAAATATTATAGTTTTTCTGTTAACGGTTTTCAACAAAAATATTTTTACGTGTGCTGATGTTTTATTGGGTGAGTCTACAGGTACAGTACCCCCTTTTGCGCCCTGTTCTGCTATAGGCACCCCTTATCTATCAGATAATTCTTGCACCCCGGTTTTTTTCCGCGGACTATTTACACCTGTTTCTAGTTTTTTCCCAGATGGCTGACGAAGACTTGACATGGGCAAACATTCACACAAAAAGGTATACTATGCATTCCATCCGACAATGGGCCGGTTTTTGCTGATTGGCCGGCACTGATGGAATGCGTACGGTATCTTCCACGCGTACGACAATATCGCCCTTCCGTGTAGTTTACTGCATCTGGTGCGTTTTGGGAATCTGAACTAAATTTCAGTTTCTAAAACCTCTGCCAGCCAGGCACGTTGGGTGCAAGCTTGGGCGAATATTGCGTTTTCTGCCATGTACCCTTCCTGGGCCTTCCACAATTTAACACTGCCAAGCGCAGACCATCGACCTGCATTGATTCGTGCCGAGCAACTACCTCTGCACAACCGGAAACGTAGAGCATGGATAACTGAAGGAGGATGTGCTCCGGTAATAAATTATTTGACTTCTTTAAAATTCTCTAAAGTCATGAAAATTTGCCCTTAAAATATAGCAACGGTGAACAGGGAATGCCTGTAGCTTTCCCACGCGACAAATTGCAAAGATTAACTAATTGAAAAGGGGTGCTAATCCGTGTTATAGCCTAACTTGGTGCAAAAGGGGGAGCCTATAGCGATGGAACTATACACATATGACTGTAATTGTAGCTCTCCTGCCTGTGGCAATGGCTGCCGCTGCGGCACCACATCTGCCAGCCGACGCTGCTGTACAGCGCGGCGTCAGTCTGGTGACCTTTTTCCAGCAGTGCGCCAACCACGAGCCCACCTCCTCATCGTCAAGACCAAGCAAGGAGACGTTTTCGGGGCTTCTTGCAGTCACTGCTGGAAGAACCTCCTCCTGTTGGTCAGTTACGCATATTCATCATCCATTTTTTTTTCTTACAAATTCACATTTAGCAACGAGTCAACCATAATTTTTAATAGTGGTCAATAAATTTTGAAGTGTATTGGCTAAATGTCATGCAGGAGGATATTCACCGAAATTTAGTAGTGGAACGGCTAAAAATTCTTATGGATTTCCCTGCAAGTTAAGACGTAATCCTAACACATTTAACGTCTCTTTGGCTATGAATCTATGATCAATAAAGTTCGTGTTACATGTTTTTTCTCTTTAGGTTACATATTAGCGTAAAATGTCTTGATGTTATGCAGTTTTTAATTTCGAAGTTTTATAGGTATACGAACTGTAACTTAAAACTGGGTATAAAACTTTGCTTTGCAGATGTTTATACTGGCCAGATTTTTTAAGGAAGCAGCACTTCAGTTAAATCTGAAAATTAAAACGGAGTGCGAGAAATTTTGGAAAAATTGTGCAATTTTCGGAATTTTTTATTCTCGTTTGGTGAACTTTAATCGCAATTTGTGCACCAGTGTTTGTTGTGTTTCTGATTCGTGGGAAAAATTAAAACGCGATTTCCCGGCAAATACATATAAATGATATAATACGAAATTCCATTGACGCCGCAGTATTATGCTATCAATGACGAATTCAGCTATCGATGATGTCACATTTGTCGGCGCGATATTCAGCGCTTTGCATTATAATCAAACGCTGGCGTCAGAAAAAAAAACAGATACTTTTGCTTGGATTAACTCCATTATTCGACCGAAATACAAAATGTTAATTGAGCGCACATGTTTGGCTTATGTTTGCCAAAGCGGATGTGATGCTATTCTCCATTGCAAAAATGTTGCCATAAATTAAAGCGGACTGGTGCGGCAACATTGTTGTCCCGTTTAACGGCGTGTGTAATATATTGATCCTGAACGCTTAATTAATCACGTTTTTCCATGTTTTATTAATTCGTCACATCACTTCTCCATTCGCGATCAGTGACACAGCAGTGCTGATGCAGTGCTGATTCCGATTAAAATTCGCTAGAATATTTAACTGTTATTTTGAAAAACAAACAGAAAAATAAATAAGTAATAATTTCGAACAAAAATCTAAAATATCCTTGGAATCCTATAAATGGCAAAATTAGCAGGAAATTATGAAAAATGGCTTGTATGAATCAGAATTAATTAAAGCACAGAAAACCTTTGAAATCCAGAACAGCAAAGTTTACCAGAAAATTATGTAAAGCAAAGTTTATCAGTAAATTATGTAAAAATCATTTAGGTAAGTATAAATAATAGCACAAAGTGAAAACCTTTAGAACTCAGAAATGTACGTTTATTACCTGTGGTACAACGGTTATGCAACAGCTTAAAACAACATAATTTTACAACATGAAAATTTCATTTAACTTTTCTGCTCCTTCCATCGTTCCCAAAACTGATGCAGCGTTTCCTCGTTGTATCACTAGTGACAGTCTTTGACGTAGAAATTCATGGGAACGTCTTTCGCCTGTGTGTTGCTCCAGTCGTTTGCCCAATTCTTTAATGATGGCAATGGCTGACGGTCCCCATGGGCCCATTGTTTCGAAAGCAATTGGAGAAAAGTGTATCTGCCGTTTAAGTACGAGTACAACTGAGACTTCTTCTGTTCTGCTTCCACCGCAGCCGCACTTGCGTGAGTTGCTGTTTTCTTGATGTGAGAAGGGGCAACAGTGTCTACGCAAGTGACATCCCACGCTAAACACAACCCTCTCTGCCAGGCAAAAGTTGTGCATCCGTCAGGGCGTCGTTCAGACGTATGCGACGTGCCACGTGGCTCCAGTTTTGCCGGAATCCCAGCTGAAACACACGCGCGACAAACGATGTCGTTTAATCCACCATGTCGTGGGAGTCTACCAGCAGAGAACGCGCAAGACAGACCATGGTGTCCGTATTTGTCTACATGCTTTTGGCACTTCATGCATTCGTGGGGTTCACATATTGCAACTCCAAGTCTCAGACCGACGGAGATTTTCAGAGTATCGTCATCAAGGAGGTTGCCAATATGGGCAGAAGGCAATGCATTTAACCAGATGCCGGCTTCCGGTGTTGACTGGGCAAGAAGGCGGGCTTTATTAATTTCGTCGTCGCGGTAAATCTCCAGCAGCGTGGACAAAGATATGTTACACATTGGGATGTCCCAGGTCCTCTGTTGCTTACGGAAATTAGGTTCAGGCAGTTCAGGTTGTCGGGCGTTTTTCTTCCACAACTCGAGAGCGCCTGTGAGGTCGACGGCCGCATGTCCAGGTAGTAATAAGGATACCATATCGGATACGGAGAAAATCGAAGCCAGAAAGGCTGGAAGTGCTAATTCCTCCGACCGACGTATCCCAATACCGCCTCTGCAAACGGGAAGGCTAGCCTGTCGCCAACACGGGTAGTCATCATGAGCGGTTCTTACGTTGCACAGCGTCTGGAAACAGGAGCGTAACTTTTCATCTATCTCGTACAGTTTCTCTGGATACTTCCACGCATTACAACATCGTAACATGTATATGACTTTTGGCGCGCCAAGACAAAACCTGAGAAGGTACAACGCATGGTGACGTGGAAGCAGTTGAAGTCGCTCGCACATTCTTGTCAGTGTTGCAGCTTTTTCAATGAGCGATGGCCCAATCGCGTCATCCAACACGGGGGCTCCGAGCAGCGTCAAAGTGGAGCTTGATACAACACGCAGCTGGGGGTGTCGTACATTAAACTCAGCAGTCACATGCTGTTGGTTGCTTTCTGTCCCTCCGCAGACAAATAATTCACACTTGGCAATGTTGACATCCAGCCCGATGGAGTGTGCCTCTGCAATAATCCGATCAAAGTTGGCCAGCACACTAGCAGGAGAACCGCCTAACGTCCCGTCATCCAAAAACCATGCGTTGAGCTCCGTGGTAAGAGTGATCACTAAAAGGTGCAGAACTAGACAAAATAGTAATGGTCCCAATGGATCTCCCTGCTGTACACCGGATTCAGATGACAAATTATACTGGTCCAGGAACAGAGACGAATGATATCCGTATGCTGACTGTAGGAATGCACTGTATTCCGGGAAATGTGCATGAGCGGCGTTCAGCACGGCTTCTCTGGAAACTGTGTTAAACGCATTCCTAAAATCTATCTTCAAAATAGCTTTTACAGTCTCAGGATCAGACTCGGCGAATTTTCGGGTTCCGTGGACAATGGCCTCTGCTCCACCACGAATGTTGAATCCTAGCTGCAGTGGACAGAGGGTGGCGGTTACACGGTCGGCCACTTTAGTGCACACAATTTTTGCAACTATACGGCGCAGCGTCAATCCAACCGCAATGGGACGTAGGCCACCGTCTTTCTTGCGCAGGGCAATCAGTTTTCCCCCAAAAAAGGTCGGACGGATATCGGACGGTATCTTCCCGTTAACAACTATATTTAGCACAGATGCCAGAGCTTCACAGAATTGACTGCTGTGGACATCCATTTTTGGGCCTACAATGTCCAGAAGATGTTGCGGCCGCAGACCGTCTGGCCCAGCGGCAGAACCTCGTGGGAAGCTGTGAATTGCTGCAAAAACGTCTGCGGCAGATATAGGTGGCGCTGCAGATCCAGGGTCGAGCGGAGCCATAATGGGGGGCGTACATTTAGGGTGTTTCGTCCTGAGCTCATCGAGAACATCCGCATTAACAGCTGCGACCGAATCCGTAGACGAAATAACACGCATTGCGCCAGAGACAGATCCGTCGTCAATTTTGAGACCGACTTGACGAACGAGATCATCCTGACTGTTCCGCTTCTTCTTGGGGTTCAGGGGTGGCGGGGGTGGTGAAGCAGGGATCTCGATGTCGCGGTCGAAAAGATCCAGATTTTTCTTCACTGCTGTTGCCAAGGAAACAGCGCGCTCGGATTTCGTTTTAGCAGGAAGCCGAAGAGCGTTAGGGGCAAACGCTAGCAACTTTAGCCAGGAACTGCTGTCGTTCTGGCTCGCCACTCGTAAAAGGGTCCTCTGCAGTGAAGCTCTGGCGGTCGGTCTTGCGCCGTGTGGGATACGCCGCATGATTCTCTCTTTGGTGGGACGAAAATCTGGAGCTGCTTTGGGCGGTGCAGGCGGCGTAGGCGCAGCTCCGTTAGAGTTGTTACCCATGGCGGAGGGAGCAGATCCAGTTGGTCGTGATTTGCAGGCACGCATGTGGCTTGCAAGGCCAGCTCCCCTACAATACAATTTCTGACAAAAGGGGCAAGGTTCCTTGTCGGCGGCCATGAGGAATCAAGGATCTAAAGGAAAGCGACTGACCTGGAGTGATTGTATGGACGCTGGATACCTAGGAGGATCAGGCCCGCCGGACCCGTAATGAGGCACGGTCTCGCCAGTGAGAATCCGCACCACGTTTAGATCCTCCTGGCCACCCTTTCAACCAAGAGGGATCTATCCCCGATTTGGTGAACTGGGAAATTTAGTCACTTGCAAGTTAATCCACAGAAGGGGAACGCGACACAACACTGGTTGATATCAGCGCGTATAATCGATAGGAAAACAGGCTTTGCCGATTTTATAAAAATTTTATATAAAATCAGAATGAAGAAATAACGAGAAAATGTTTTGAATAAAATGGTGTCCCAAATCACCAGCATTACTGCTGGAAAAAAACATTGAACGAACCGAAGTTGAATTATTGCTGACCAGTGGCTGCTATTTGTACATGCTGGAATGTAGTGCAAGGGCTCTAATAAATGAACAAGGTTGTCGCTCGATGTCACTTACGGGTTTCTTCTTAGTTTGCCTGCTGTTGTCTCTAATAATAATATTATTTTCTGACTGGTTTGTTTTTTTTTGTAATTTTACTAGATTTTATTTTAATTTTGTAGATTTATTTTAAATTGTTTTATATAAATTGTGTCTATTATAGATTCGCATCGTGGACTGTTATTTATACGTAGGCATGAAAGTGCTCTTCCGCAGCGCCTTGGCAATTATCAAGATATTCCACCGCAATTCGGGTAAATTAATTTAAACTTTTCCAAAATTTATCAGAATTTTATTCAACAGCCGGCAAATTTTTATAGGCCAACCGGCATCACCTCCGAATTTATCGGCGGCCATCTCCTGTTTACTGCCGCGAATGGCCGCCGCACAGCAACAGCACGGAGCTGTTGAAAGTCGGCTTCGCGCTCTCGCGGCTGTCGCAGGAGCAGATCCTGCTGATTATTATTATTATTATTATTATTATTATTATTATTATTATTATGTATTGTTATTATTATTGTATTATTATTATTGTTATTGTTATTATTATTATTATTATTATTGGCTATTATTATTATTATTATTATTATTATTATTGTTATTGTTTTATTATTATTATTGTATTATTATTATTATTATTATTATTATTATTATTATTTATTGTTATTATTATTATTATTATTGTATTATTATTATTATTGTTATTATTGTTATTATTATTATTATTATTATTATTATTATTATTATTATTATTATTATTATTATTGTTATTATTATTGGTATTATTATTATTGTATTATTATTGTTATTATTATTATTATTATTGTATTATTATTATTATTATTGTATTATTGTATTATTATTATTATTATTATTATTATTATTATTATTATTATTATTATTATTATTATTATTATTATTATTATTATTATTATTATTATTATTATTATTATTATTATTATTATTATTATTATTATTATTATTATTATTATTATTATTATTATTACATCAAGAGCAGACAGCCCGTTTAACGGGACTTCAACATCTGGTCGGTAAAAGTAAAAACAGCATTAAGGCTACGACAGATCAACCATTCGGAGAGCAAACTTAAAAAAACCCACACCATCAACACTGAGTATCTGCATGTTAAATTTTTGTATGCGCTCAAAAATTTCCTTTAAACGCATGGCCAACGTCCCTTCTCCGATCTTCTTCTTCGCTTTGGCTTCGATTCTCTTTGGCTTCCGTAGATTGTACCGCGCTGTGATATCCGTGAAGTCAATCATGTCGACCAAGTAGTGCGGCGGACGGAACGCTTCGTGGTTGTAGATCTTGTACAACCATACTGCCTCGGACTGCTTCCAACGGTCGTACACCGGCAGGACGCGCAGTTTCTGGTACAGCTCGGGTGTTACCCGCTCTTTGTAATCAGAAATCGCCCGCAATGCTTTCCGCTGTGCTTTAGCCAGTTTGCCGCGCAAAGCCAAAGATGCCGGTGACCACGTGTCCGACCCGTAGTCGAAGTGTGGCTGCACACAGGCATGGTAAAGGCTCCTACGCTGGAACAGATCCAGGCCGTTTTTTGCGCAGTTAATCAATGCGATGCCGTAGTTAACTTTTCGCAGCACGTGATCGATATGCGTTCCCCATTTCAGGTTGCGGTCTATGTAGATCCCCAGGTATTTCACGTGCTTTTCTTCTTCTATCTGGTGGCCGTTGATTGTCACCACCGGAGAAGGCTGGCTGGATGATCCGCGACTACGAGCAGGTCATCAAATCTGCACCGGCCGCTGATCTCCTCAGTCAGAACAGCGCCACCGACCACCGCCCGCGGTGGCTAAAGCACCACCGGCGCAGTCTCAGTGTCCCGCTGCCTTTCGTCCCCGCCGAGTTGTTGCAGCGCAGCCGCATACTCAATCAAGACCAGGTAAAACGCGAAAAATGATTTAACCTAGTTTCTTTAATATTGGAATGATAATTATAATATTATTCAGTCGGAGGAGCACGGCGTCACGGCGTCAGTGGTGACCTTTTTCCAGCAGTGCGGGAATAACGAGCCGACCATCCTCATCGTTAAGACCAAAACCGACGACGTCTTCGGCGCCTTCTGCAGTCACAGTTGGGAGAACCGCCACCTGGGGGTCAGTCACCTGTGCTGAGCAGAAATTTATTCCTCTGAAAAAATCCTTAATTATCAGCGATCCTTCAGTAGTAGCTATAGATCGTAAATCATGAAAAATAATCGTTACAATTAACATTTAATCAGATATACGAGTAGCAGTTTTGTAGTGGACTGGCTTAAAAACTTCCATGCGTATGCCTTTGCTTTCCAGACTATGTGGTCATTGCGTAATTGCGTAATGAGTCGTTCAATGTAAATGATAAAATCCGCGTTACACTTTTTTTTTATTTTAAAATTGTCCATTTTCATTAGATTTCCTCATTCTGTGGTCCCCATATTTAGATAGTTTAAATAAACACTTTTGATATTTTTTCAAGGTAAAAATCTTAGTAACTTCGGAACCGGAGAATCCTTTTTATTCACGCTCGCTGTTCTCCGAGCAGAAGATCTACCAATGGGTGGGGCTCGGCATGGAGGTTACGCCCAGTCCCAGTAGCTGCCTGTTCATGGCGGCCGACTCCAACTGTCTGATTGTCGGCGGCGGCGGCGGATTCGGCATCCGCTTCGACTCCACGCTGGCCATGGGCCGCACCGAGGCCTGCACCACCTTCGGCAGTCCCGCGTTGTGCGACGCGCCCTCGGGCGACTTCCATGCACCGTCGTCGAGGTCTTCGGATTCGCCAATTAAATTCCCGAATTTGTCTGGAATTTATTTGGAAGTTACCCAATTAAATTTCCGAATTCATAAGGAATTTATCCGGAAAATTGTCCAATAATTTTGGGGGTTATCCGGAATTGTCTGGCCAATATCGAAAGAAATTGTCCAGTAAACTGGGGATTTGTCAGGATCGCGGAAAAATTCACAGCAATCGTCCAATTAATTTCGGATTTTTTTACAAAAAGATCCGGTATAATTCATAAATTATTCTGCATCAGAATGGCGACTGCGGAGAAATTGAAATAATTGGAATTGTTCTTTATTTCGAAGCGATGGAATTGTTCTTTATTTCGAATGTCAGGAGAACTCTCTCAGTTATGACAGACAGTTTTCCCGGAATTTATGATTATTTTTGGGTGGAAAAATCGCTGCGGAAATTTTTTCTGGAAAAATTCCGGGAAAAAAATTACTATTTTTCTCTTGGATTCGGGAGAAATTGGAAAAGTCGACATGTGATTAATATGTGCAGATTTTTGATTAATCTACCGTTGAAACCAAAGCAGTGTCCCTCATTCATACACACACAATTCAAGACAGTTCCTATTTCACAAAAACGAGACTGATGAATTTGACGCTGCGCTTTCGTGTTTCCGTTGGTGGATTGTCATTGGCCCGATTTTTGCTTCTTGTGTGCGTTATAATCCGCGCAAACATTCCACGGTGGATGTTGAGTTTTTTTGTACACAAACATTAGTCAAAGTGTGTCGCCACAATAACGGGTTGAAATGTGATGATTTAATTAGTTTTTGTCTGTTTGTGCGCTCCGCATTGGCCGCTGTAAAGGATCGCGCCGGTTCCTGTAACCTGTTGTACTGCTTTCTTCGCGTCTGTGCCAATGTTTTCCTACGGATTCTAGTCATTTTGTGCGATACGTTATGGTGCCCATGTAATGAAATAAACAGTGGGATATCGAATAAAATTATAAAGCCACTTATAAAGGTCATCCGCATTGAGCAGGTCCACCAAAGCACGGCTGCATTTACAGTAACATGGTTAGTTGGTTACTTCTTTTCTTTTCAAAGTTATGGCCACGTGCGTTGCACACATAAGCACGGATGTGTAAAGCAATAAGCGGCATGATATCAGACAATATAATATGAAATTTATATGGTTAAACACCGAAGTAATTATGCTTTGGTCTAAATGTTTGCGGTACTCGGTCGTCATTTCGTTGATGGCCGATAGATTAACTCCGTTAAACTCCGCCACGGTCCACGGGTTGCCCATATATACGATTGGCGGCATAATATCTCGCCCAGAGATTCTGACCGCGAATCCGCGATACAGTTCAACAACAGAATGGGAGTGGGCTAAGGCCCGGCTTGGTTCTCCCTTGCGGCGCCGCCGATCGTGTACACGGATCCGATAGGTGCCGGGCAGTTGCTTCTTGATGACGAAACTATCGGCATGCAATCCAGCATAATCGTTGTGAATCAGATTATCACCGCTCAGGCTCTCTCCCCGACATTCCACGCGTGTCCGCCGTGGGCTATCCTTCAGCGGCACTTCGACCACCAGCTCCGTATATCCCATCCTAAGACCAAAGAGAATGATCCGAATGTCATCGGACCGGAGCGTGACTTGAAGGCTTTAATTATTATTATTTATTATTATTATTACATTAAGAGCCAAATCAGCTCTAGAGCTGATTTGGCCCACCTTTCAGCTTCGAGATCTTTGAGTTACTGTAGTTTGGCTACTTTGAGGTACAAGAACGTTTCCGGCCGTTGCTCCAAAACGTTGCTCAAAAACGCTAATTCTTAGCCCTACTCACAGTCGCGTCGTAAACTGCTGTACGCCTGAACGTAAACCGCTTTGATTAAAGTTCGTGGTCCGTGTGGGTGGCAGGAGCGCTTTCCTCTGGGTCAGGTATGGTTAAACTCATTCATGTAAGAAGGTTCTTTCATTCATTGTGTGGTCCAGATGACGCACTGCTGTTACATAACGACATCATTTGGGATGTCGACACGGATGGGTTCAAGAATTTCCTCCCTTTAACGGGATTTCTCGGACCAGAAGGCTACTGGCCAAACAGTGGGCAAGGTATCCCCTATGAAATACACGGATTCGGTGAGAATTTATTATACTGTATTAATTTATTATACTTTATTATATAAGTAAAGTTTAGAAGTTTGCCAATGCACGCAAAAGTGCATTTTCCTAGTGTGAAAGGCGGCATTGGCATTGTACGTAAAGATGTACAGTAATCTGCTTCCGTTACAACAGCGGAGCTGATTATATCGAGTAACTGCGGATATTGCGCAAACTGATTTTGCACACTCGCGTAAACACGCTTCGGCCTTTGGCTTTCGGCAGCCACTACTGCTTTACGTTTGCCGACACTTGCTCGTTTTTTTTCGTTTTATTTCGGGGCGGCGTTAACTGCGCGGTAAAGGCCTAAAACGATCAGTGTGGTAAGGCACACCGCCATCGTGATCGGAAGACCTGTTGCCACAGCATCAAATAAAGTCGTATATAAGTGGAAAATGCCTTCATATGATCCTACAGCGAAGCAAGTTCAAGGTATTCTTAGAGAAGAAATCCCCGGCTTTTGCGATCTCAGCTACGGAGTGTGAAAAAGATAGTTTGTTTGTTGTTTGCTGAAGAATGTTGTTGTAAGCTGTGTATGTTAGTCTAATAAAAACAGCAACAGCATAGCAGCAGACAGAACACTCGTATTTTCGCACCGAAGACGGCTGAGGTATGCGTAAGACCATTATTTTGGGTCGTCGCTGAATTACATCCGATAAATCTTGGTGCATGTTTATTAGCAAGAAAGTACCGACAAAATGTCAAAAAATCAATACTGCATCTGAGCAGCAAATTCCTTAATCCAAATAATGCGCTCTTTTAACCCGGTCCATATGTAGAGACTCTGTTGTCGATATTCTCAAGCGTAGGGTGGTTGTCAGATTCGAAGCGAATCTCGCTGTGGTACGGTTGCTGAATACAGGGGCCACGTCTACAGATACGGTCGGCTGCAAAACGAAAGCACTGAACGCCGGTGCTAAAACGTAATTTACGTGGCGACGCCGCCGGCGATATTCTACTTACTGATAGTCCACAGGCAAATCGCCCGTTGTAATAAGCACCAGCCTATTTCAGACTGCACGGTTTGTGTTAGTTTCGGCTCCGGTTCCATGTGGAACCTTTGGTTCCGGGTTGTTTTACGTCCGCTCGCGACGTTAGCAGCTGTAACCTAGCGTCGTGCGGTGACGCGTAAAACCTATCTGCCTTCCGCGGATGCTTGCAACGGCTCAGACACATGAGTGAATGGCAGGCCAGCGTATGCTGCCCGTGGATCTTTTTTGAGCACTCAGACCGCCGACCGTTAGCAGGGTGGTCACGTCCTCGCGCGCACTCGCACTCGACCCGATTAATTTTTTCGTTGCTGTACGTGACCAAAGTGTAGGATGAAAACGGCTTCAGATCTTTGTGAGGTCCGCACAAAGATCTGAAGCAGTTTTCATCCTGCCAACGTACTGCATGTCTGACGCCGTGCGATTCTATGTACGGAGCCTCTACCGTATGCAATCTGAAATAGGCTACTGACTATGCTTATCCGTTGTATGGAGGTCAGTCCTTTAGTGGACTTTCTTTCGATCGTCATTCTTTCAGCCAAACCCCACGTCTCTGTCCAGCAGTTATAGTATGACCCTTGAGATGATTTCCTAAGAAACAGCTGCAGCTCTACAACACGAAGACTGAGTATGTCTGGCTAGCCAGACGATTGTTATTTTTGCTCTACAAACCATCAGTTGGTTTTTTATTAAAGAACGAAGTTGGAAAGTTACTTGCTTACCCTTGCTGGAAGCACCAAAGCGTTACCATGTGGCCGTGCATAACTGTTTGGCAACTTCCTGCTGGCCGACGTGGATGATTACAATGATATTGATGTGGAAATTAGCGTGTTTGTGACTCAGACATTAGCCTGTGGGTCGGCAGAATGGCGGATGCGATTTCATTGAACATCCACCATCCACCCGTCCACCTTTCTACCGGCTACAAACGTCTCATACACCGATAAGGTCGACGCCTGGAAACGAGCCCCATGTTGAGCTTAGTACCGATCACGCTAGACAGTACCAGTAGTCGATTGTGGACGGAGAGGCATGGCTTAGATGATCTACCGTTTTATGTATCTCGCGTAGAAGTTGTCCTTTAAAAACCAAAATGTTCTTTGTTATGCCGATGGTTATCGCTCGAGGAATATGGCAACTGCGCTAAAAAGGACGCAAACACTGCATTCCAATTTCCAAATGTATCCCTTTTATGTGAACAGATAGATTTTGTTGCTTACTTCTACTCGTATATAATTTTTTAATTCAACAATCTAACTCTTTTATCGAAGCGGCTTCCGGAGCCAAAGGTCGAAACCTCTCAAGCAGAAACGATTTCCGCATATATCCGATATGATCACCACTGCTGCTCATATTTCTTAGCTGTTCTTGATTATATCGGCGTTATACACAACTGTCGCTCTCGTGCGGCGGACACAGTTAAGTGTCGTGCAGATTCAGCATGATGTGTCAATTGTAGATGCATGGCTGCCGCGAACTAGAACTAACGTAAACTGCTCTTGTAAAGTCTTTGCCAAACATTCGCCGGCTTTCTCTTTCTGTTTGCATTAGGATACACTGTATTCTAAAGCGAACCTAGTGCTGAGTCCTATATTGTTAGCATTCGTACAAACCAGTGAGTGAAGGCAAAGACTTCTCGTTCAGGCAGGAGTGATGCATTCTCCATCTGCTCTGCTTATTTCGGGGTTTCTGTGGATCGCTGGATCAATGTCCTCTCCGGCTGGTAAAGTATTCCTGTTTCCTCTCGCCACATTCAAATCTAGAATTTTAAGCATTTCCCTATTTTTTGAGACAGATGACAAACGTCTGTTGATCAACGATATCTGGGACGACGACGACGAGGGCAGCACCGGATACAATAGCTTCGTTTCCGGATCGGGCTATCTTGCACCAAGTGGCTACTGGCCCAACAACGGACATCAAATTCCTTACGAACTAGCAGGATTCGGTGAGCGGATCACTTAATAAAGTGGCAACATATTACATCAAATATCGTGATATTTGTGATTGGTATAATTCTGATCAGGTTGCATAGAGGAAATAGTTTTGTTGGGATTCATATTTTAGCTTTGTTTGCGCCTACTTCTGTCACACTGAAAATAGGTACCCAAATCAGCGCAGGGTACCTTTTGCCTAAAAGCCTACTTTTGCAAAACAGCGTAGAATTCACAATTGAACCACTCGTCCCCTGTGATAAGAGCGATCGTGAAGGCTGCCCGCAAAAATGACTTTGCATAAATTTGCTTGTTCTCGCATCCCGGTTACGCTGCTATGTTTCTGCTAATTTCAGACACCGAACAAATAGATGTGATTGAAAGTGCGATGCAAACTCTAGAATTTCGAATCAGCGGCTGCGTAACATTCACGAAACGCATCTCAACTCAGAAAGAATATATTCTGATCCAGCATCACACGGGATTCACGCCAGTGTAACCAATGTCGCTGCTTCACTGTACCCGTTATGAACCTCCCCGATTAACTGTTGTTTAATAGATGTAAGGCAGACATTGGTCGAAGTAGTGGTCGTCCAACCAGAGTCAAACTGCATTCCCGCTGCTTGTCACCCGGGACCATCCAACACGAGATCTTGCACGCTCTAGGATTCCTACACGAACACAATCGCCCGGATCGGGACGATTACATCAGCATAGTACCCGGTAACATGGTGACCGATATCCCGGAGAGGAACTTCCGCAAAATGCCTCGAATGGCCACTTTCGGCCTTCCTTATGATTTAGAGTCGCTGTTGCATTACGGCCCTGAATTATCCAAGAGCCCCGACAAACCGGCCATTGTGTCCAAAGTTAGCAAACCGCCGCGATGGATGGGTCAAAAATACGGGCTCAGTCTACTGGATGTGGCCAGGGTGAAGGCTGCTTACAACTGCATCCAGAAAGACGTTACTGCTGTGCCACAGCATTGCCCGAGGCCAGTCTGCTCTGACTCCTCTAAAGAAGGCGAGTACAGTAATTTTCAGTGACTTTCAGGAAATTTGGTAAGTTCCTGGTTGTACAGTATCTCGTCAGAAAGCTTTTTGCTACGATATCGCCATAGCAGTGCCAAGTTTTGATGTTTTCGTTTCAAGGATCCTAAGTTGCGGGCGAGCGTATGCTTACAGCGGAACAGTTGGGTAGTTCAACGTATGTTGCAATTCGGCAACCGTTCTACCGTTAAAAAGAAAGTGTTGCTGTACAGATAGGCATCGGTTTCTTCCCGATTATTAATCGACGTACTGCTTGCAGAGCATAGAATAACAGCCGTTTGGTTATCCAGGAATGCTCAGACTTGGGATTCACTTAATAACGCAACGGTGTATGGCACTTTGAGAGATTCAAACGATCTGTTGTTTGACAGTCAAACCGCAACAACAAATGCTTTCGGTGAATTCACGTTGTCCTTACCAGTGAGGAGCATCTACACCATAACATTCGAGATGCACGGGTTCTTTCCGATTCATCTACATACTTTTCATCGCAATCTCAGGCTGGACGGTAAGGTAACCATGGAACCTTTGTTGTGGATCGACAAAACCTTGGCCGGAAACGGGACTGCCCATGGAGGCCTGAGATACATGGAATTTGGTAGCCATGATTTAGGTGTATATGCCCCTTTCGTAAATATCGCCATTCGTAACGGCCTGAACAATGTCTCTGGGTCTATTCTTGCGACAACCACCGCAAATGAAGATGGTTACTGGAGACAAAGTTTACCATCGGGATATTACACGGCGACTGTCACCGCTACAGGACACCTACCGAAACATTTCCCAGTCGTCGTTTGGAGTGGAGGCGGCTTTAATTCCGTTCAGTCCCTGATGCCTGACGTGTCTTACGATGACATTCGAATAATTCTCTTTAGTGAAAGACATCACACTTTGGAGCTTGTGGTGGAAGGGCCACTCCAAGACAGCCGGCAGCGGACACGTGTTGAATCTATCGGAGCGAGAATGAGCGCTGATAACTTGATTCACAACGACTATGCTGGAGCCTGGGCCGATAGTACCGTGATAAAGAAGCAACTGCCCGGCACGTACCGGATCAGCGTGTACGATTGGCATCATCGCAAAGGAGTACAGAACTGGCGTTTGGCCAATTCCCACTCTGTTGTCGAAGTCTATCGCGGTAAAATTTTGTGGACAAAATATTATGTCCCCAATCGTATTGGCAACACGTGGAACGTGGTGGAGTTTGACGGAGTAAATCTGACGACCATCAATGAAATTACAACATTGTACCACAACACTTAACTCGTTTTTAACCCAATCCTGGATCCTTATGGGTTTAAGATCTTCTTAATTGTATTGCACAATACCAAGCGTAGTACAGCTTACAAATCCGAGCCTATGTTTGCAACTGATGCGGGTAATATTATGAATTACTGTAAACTGAAAAAAGCAATGTTAAATGAAATTCGGTTGTGGTGGAACTGGTAAATCCAGATGACATAGTAGATTTTGTCAATACATGGAGCATTTTGCTAGCATTTTTATACAAAGAAGGTGCATTCTTTGCGCTTTTTTATCTGTGAGCCGATGAAATACGCAAGGGAAATGTGTTACGTAGTATTTGATACTTCACGGCACAAGTTTTTTTTGAAGTTTAGCATTACTGACCTACCGGAAGTTGTACTCTGCGAGATGCAACTTCCGTCGTTCTTCTTAACCGACACCTAGATTTCAGTGCTCATTATGTCCTGTGCATTGTCGGCATGCACTACCTCTTGCAGCTGTCTGCAGTGTAAGCCTTCCTGTTTTTCAAGTATCAAAGAAAGAAAGATCAGGAATGCGTTTTTGACACGAAAGGTCAACTAATAATAACTGTTTCGCTGATACTGATAGTGTTCCTGCTACGCGGGTGTGCTAATTGTCAATAAAATTAGCATTTTTGCAAATTGAAACAGAATGCTGCTATACAGTGTCGGCTTATAAGTACAATCACCACTGTACTATAATTTTTTGCTAAGGGCTTTATAATAAATATCAGTACAATAAAGAAAGTCTTTGTAAGGGCGGGACGCCCCGCCCTCCTGAGTAGCTATTCGCTGTTTCTGGGGATTTCCACCCCGCACATTGCTGCACTGTTTTGACGGATCTGAGCACAGTTGCACTGGCTGCAGAATCCTTCCTTGTTAGTCTGGTGTTGCTGCGCCACGGTGCGCATTAGATTCGGCATTAAAGCTTCATCCGCGTTCACCGCTGTTCGCTGTCGAGGACACGCGTGGCGCCCATACGGCCCCGCGTTATATCTTTGTTCGATAATGTTGCGAAAGTTTTACAGTTCGGGCATAATCGAAAATGCTTGTGTTATCAATCTGTTGCGAAAGCAGAAAATACCAATCCCGATAGTAATACGTGCTGATATTCCAATAACAAAAATTGCAATATTACGGCATTCTGATGATATAAATTACGAAAACAATGAATTCGGAAACTTTAAATTTTATGCAAAGCAGACTTGTGGCGCCTGCCGCCTGGTAAAGTGCAAAACAACGGGCGCTAATACTGGCAGCTTTTCTCAGGGCTACGAATGCACAGAACGGGAATTATATTTGCTTAGTATAGCAAAAAGTATCAATTACGACCGAAGAGAAGCAGCATCTGCTGCTTCAGTTTCCTTCAATCAGAGAAAAAAAAGGCCAGAGGCAGCCGGTCAAACACAGCAACAAAATATTGAACATTTTGCTTAGAACCAACTTACTATAGTGTGAGAAGGACTGGTCACCTACCGTTTGACGTTATCACTCTCGCATACACGGGATGGCGGCTGACATGGCGACAGATGCGCGTTTTTCACGATTTTTCGTAGTTTTTTCAGAATATTTCCTTTCTCTTCTATTTCTAGCCCTTCATGTTTGGGTTTTTTAATTCAATTATGATCTGTTAAAATATCAGAAAGCTTTAGAGGAGAAAGGAACTGAGAATATCTTTTAAAAAGGACAAGAAAATCTGTGGTCCTATGGTAAGCAATGGCACAGCAGTGCATTCTGTATGCGACAGTGGTGACGTAGTCGACCGTTGCCCAGTCGGTTCCCAGTCCTTCTACCTATAGCAAGTTCTTGTTAGAACAATCAATTCTTGAAGTTTAACTAAATCCGGCTATGGAACGCAATGTTGGAGCATGCAAAGAATATCTGTGCCTTTTATGGCTGGCTGGTGTTGTGCTTTCGCCAACCTTTACCGCGAACCCGCCTCTATTTCAATTGGCACTGCCGCTTACCCAGAAAACTATCTGATAACACTGCAAATTCAATGCGATTTTCCTAATACTACGTCCGTAATGTTACGTCCGTAATATTATGCTCGTATTATTCCGTACGTTTCCGTGCGATGAACACCCGGCTAATTTTAAGCCGTTTGCATTTAAACTGTGATGTTAGTAGCGTCGCGACCTACGGCTAACCGGCTGTTCATCGCAGCTCAGTCATGCAGGGGGTGTTAACAGCACCCAATGGTCCTCGTATTATAAATTTTTCTTGACATTTTCCATAGATTTTGCGGTGAGTTTTAGCGGTTATTCTGAACGGTGAAAACTTGTGCAGCTATGGAAAATGCTAAAATTAATCAAGGTATTTAATGTGGGAATTGACATGCCGGTCATTTGCAGTTGTACTGTCTGTGGCAGTGGCTGCCGTTGCGGCACCGCATGCCAGCCGACGCTGCTGTACGCGTCGGAAGAGCACAACGTCAGTCTGGTGACCTTTTTTCAGCAATGCGGGAATACCGAGCCCACTCTCCTCATCGCCAAGACCAAAACCAGCGACGTCTTCGGCGCCTTCTGCAGTCACAGCTGGGAGAACCGGCACCTGGGGTTCAGTCACCTGTAGTCATCATCCATTTATTCCTCCAAATATCATCATCACATAAATTTAAATAGATATAATTCACAAGTAAATGCAACAAGTATAATTACTTCACTAGTAAAACTGAGAATTGACTAAAACGACGCTTACTTTTTGAAAGTGGTAGAATGCGATATTTGCAGCAATACTGTAGTGCACTGGCCGAAAGAAAGTCTCGCATTTTCACTCGTTTTCGGTAGCGTTCAATCGTAACAAAATCTGCTACTCATTGTCAACGATGGACTTCGTGACTCGGGTTAGGCTTTTTTATTTTTTTACTGTGCAATTTAAAGCCTTTTTTATGCCAAAAACTGCGAATAATTTATGTGTATGATGAAACATTCATCATGGGATATTCTGATGAATTCCTTAACATAGATTTACTTACTAGCGCAGAATACTAAGGGATTTAACTATGTACATTAAACTATCGTAAATTATCAGCGGAAAATGTTTTGGATAATTTAATATAGTGAATTGTTTTAATGAGTTAATTATCATAAAAAAATCAATGTAGGCTATGAGGATAAAAATTAAAAATGGACGCTTATCCAGATATTTTAATGGTTTGCGTGAAAACTGGATATTTTTTTCGGGGAACAATTTTGAATCATTTTGAAACCGGTTAGTCCTTTTTATTTACGCTATTCCCCAAACATGAGATGCTTCAGAATTACGACTGTCGAAAAACTGAAACAATGAAATTGTTCCATGTTTTGGATGTCTGGAGATCTCTCTTTTAATGGCAGAAAATTTTCCAGGGAATTCTGATTGTTTCTCTGCATGCAAAAATTGCTGTTTTTGTGTATTTTCTGACAAATTTCGGGAAGAAATTTATTGATTATTATCTCTTGGATGTCCTGGAGAATTGTGGAGAAATCGAGTTGTGATTCGTCTGTGCAGATTTTTAATTAATCTACCTAAGAAACTAAAGCAGTTTCCCTCATTCATACACACACAATTCAAGACAGTTTCTATTTCAGAAAAATGCGTTTGATGAAGCTAACGCTGCGCTTTCGTGTTTCCGTTCGGGGATTGTCGTTGGCCCGATTTTGCTTCTTTTGTGAGCGTTTGAATCCGCGCAAACATTCCACTGAGGTTGTTGAGTTCTGTTGTACATAAGCATTAGTCAAAGTCTGTCGCCACAATAACGGTCTCAATGTGATGATTTAATCGACCGGAGCTCAGCGAAGGTCCTCTAATTCAACAAAAAGGGAAAGCTGTCTGTCTGTCCGTTACGGAAGAGTGGAAGATCACTTCCTTATTACGCAATCACTTCCTTACTGCGTCACTTCCTTATTACGTCATCACTTACCTATCCCGTAATTTCCGCATTAGCTTTACCATATAAAGTACTCGGTGCGGGGATGGTAAGTCATCAGACCTAGCAAGTAAGTGAACAGAGTCCCAACTGTCCCGAGGATGTTAAGACAATCGCGCCCGAAGAGCAGAGACGGAAATGAGAGGCGAGCAAAGAAAGGTCACGCAGCCACAGGCAGAAAATAAACACACGTCCAAAAGCGGTTAAAAAATTCCAAGTGACGCACAGTGGAGCTATGTAGCTTGCATACTGCTATTACGGCTCCAAAGAGCGGCAACAGCCGCAGATTTTCCAGTTCCGCTTTGGAACGGAAGATAAATGCTCTGAAATGCCTCTCTTGTACTGGAATTCGACTTGTCGCAGATTTTGATCACTCTGGATGTGGGTTTCCATCGGTAATAGGGTGTTAAAATTTCTTCACCAAACGAAAATATATGAACAACTTTCTTAATGTACAACACCTGCTACGCCAAGTTCGGACAGTAACATATATTTCTCATCTGCGACCGTTGATATCTAAACTTCTGATTTGATTTTTTTATGACAGATTACAATCAATAGCAACTTTCGAAATTATGTTTCTATGCAAAAAGCTACCATGCCGGAAACGGGAGCAAAAGTTTTACTAGAACTTTTTTTCAAAAAAACGCACTGCTTACGAAAAAATCACCATGTTCAATAGATAGTAGTTTAAAAATTCTGGAAAATTGGAAACTTCCAAGTGGTAATGCGATTTACAAACGGTCCCTTTCTAACATCTATTTAAGTACTAACATCTTCCCAAAAGCGATCAGCGTACTAGGCAGCCACATTCTTGGTAGGTACCTTTTAACATACAAGTCTATGGGTGACAGATCTTCCTTCGAGCTCACCTGGCGCACTAATCGCGTAGTGCTCTTTTGTTAGCCCGTGCTAGAGACCTTGTCGGTCAGTGGTCACTGAAAAGATTTCGATATTGTTCGCACAAAACTATTGGTTGGGAATTTTACGGGAGCTGCCGATATAAGCAGTTCGGTAATGACCCTTACTCCCTAACCCTTTAATTTGCCCCTGTCTCCTCGCTGACAGATAAGAAGATTCCGAATTTAATATTGCCAGATTCGCGATAAAAAGTTATACTAGAAAAAATGAAAGAGCGACACAAAACAGGAAAAACGAATATTTTATAATTTATTTTCAAAAGTGTCCGAAGTTGGCGTAGCAGGGCTGTATTACAAAACTTCGCTCAATAAATTTTATCCAAAACAATTTGTTAAGAGGAAATGGGCTGGGCGCAGTGCAGGAGAATACTTGTACAAATTTCTTTCATCGTTCAACGTAAACAAATTTCAAAAATTTCCCGTTTCTAAAAATTCTGGCTCGTTTTCGGGTCGTTTGGTCAGCGGTCATATATGCAACCCACCATGCACTGGTGTAGTGGTTAGCCGGTCCCGCCTTTTTCACAGGGCCGCGGCCCTCGGCCCTGTGAGATCGAAGGGTCACGGCCCGGGATGTAGCCCGCAGTGAACGACAGATGACAGTGCAGATGACAGCCTGGCGTTCTGGCCAGGCTGGCCTAACAAACTCTAAGCATGAGAAGTGGTAGCCAGCGACCATGCAGTAACAAAAGTATGAAAACGTGAATTTAAAGTAAACAAATATGCAACCAATGTTCGCCAGTGCTGAAACTGGGTTCGCATAATCAATGCGGCCATTGCAACAAGGTTACTCGAAGGACTCAGAAAATTATGAAGTGGATCCCGGATAGGTGTAATATTAAAGCCATAGAGGACCAAATGGTTGTCCGTGTCCATCCACTGATTTCTGTTTATAAGCTCGGG